TTCCCCTCCCCATCCCATCCCCTGTGATGAAATGAGCCAGAACTGGGAAGTAAGGAGATGTTTGCACCCTTGTAGAGTTTGTAATACAGGCCCTGCCCAGTCACTTACCCCATGTGAAAGCCCTGAGAAAGTGGAACATGAGTAAAGTACAATCCAGGCCGATTTCCTTATCAGAAGCGAGAACACTAGTGGTTTATATGTTTATTAACCATGGTTTAAAACCTTGCAATCATTTAAGCCTCCCCTGATCTATCTAACTGATGCTTCCCTGAACAAGAAGTTTTTCTTTGATTGGGACAAACTATTGCATTTGCAATTACAGAAGGGAAGATAAGTGGGGAGATTTTGGGTGGCTGCTTTATCTTTGCTGGAATAAAAGAAAAACAAAAGGCATGAAGAATTCTCTTGTCAGGAATCTCAAGACTCCAAAGAAAAAGCTCAAAGGAAGATAAATACACAGGGAAAGGTTTTTTCTCACAACTTTGGGGAAATTGGTTGGTAAATGGCAGGCATGTCATGAGTGGAGCCGGCTGGAGCCGGGGGTCAGACTAGACGGCCTGGGAGACCCCTTCTGACTCACTCAGTTTCTATGTTTCTATCTCTGGAAAAATTTGCAGTAGTAAACAGAGGCTGAAGTCACCGGGAGTGGCAGAAAAGTTGAACTTTGACTGACTCACTCAAGATAGCAGCCTGCACACCTAATGACATAAAAAAATCAGTAAAATTCCGTCAATAAAGAACGCTCTGCAAGAAGGTCTGTGAGTTTGAATGTGAGAAGGAGGAACCTCAGCTTTTAAAGGCACAATTACAAACAATTCCAAAAGACAACAGAAGAAATCAGTGTGGCTCCACAAAAAGCTTCAAGTTGACCTAAAAACAAAAATGAAGATGTATAGGAAGTGGAAGGAAGGTCAGGCTACTAAACAAGAGTAAAGACAGAGCATGGAAATACAGCAGTGACTTCAGGAAGGCTAAAGCTGAGAATGAGCTGAAGCTAGCAATGGATGTCAAAAGTGACTAAACTTTTTTCAGGTACAGGCACAGTTAAAAACAAAGAAAGAAAATGGTGGTTCAGCTTCTCAATGAGAAAGGTAAATTGATAACAGATGGCAAAAAAAAGGACAAAGTGCTCAGTTCCTACTTTGGCTCAGTCATCTCCTAAAAGCAGGTCTCTGATACATCTGACAAAAATGAAGTACAAACCAAAGGGGCATGACAGACACTTGGGATAAATAAACAAATGGTCAAGAAAGACCTGATTTAATTGAATAAACTCAAATATCCAGGGCCTGATGAACTGCATCCTTGACATAGAAATAGGCAACTCTCAGAACTACTGCCTGTTATCTTTGAGAAACCATGGATGATGAGTAAAGAGTCAGATGATGGAACAAGAACTAATGTTGTCCCTGTTTTTGAAAATAAAAAAAGGGGGATCATGGGCACTATAGACCAGTTAATCTGACATCAGTCCCTGTGAAAATGCAGGAACAAGTAATAAAGAACTCTGTAAGCATATTCTGACATATTCTTTGAAAAGGTCTCTGGCACTACATTCAAAAGCATATCCTGGGGACTCAAGGAAAACTTAATTTTAAAGTTTTTCTGCATTTCTGCATGTATCAGTTTCCATTTTTTCATTATTTCACAAGTCCACCACATGATAGAAAGTCCCATGCTCCCTGTTATATTTCCAGCATTTTCCATTATAATTCTAATTTTTTTAAATATCTTCTGGAGTAATCTACCACTGATAGAACATACCAATTTTCTCTTACTGCTTGACTAGCAGTAAATTTAATATCTTTCTTCCAAAGAGCTTTCCACTGGCACAGTGATATTTCTTCTCCAAGATTCTGCTTCCAAATCGTCATACATTTCTTATTTTGATGGCTTTCAGTATGATAGTGTAATAACAATTTGTAAAGTCTTCCCAGTAGATGATCATTCTGCTGTGTAATCAGCTTTTCAAAATCTGTCAAATCTCTTAAAGTGCCTTCACCAAGTTGTATTTCCTCTTTCAATCTTGAAATCAATTGATGATATACAAGCCACTGTACCTTTTCCCCTTCATCTTTTTGTTGTTGCCAAGATCTGATTCATCTTAATTGATCAACAGCATCTCGGTAAGTTATAAGATCATTATTTCTCCTTACGTGTTTTCCATATGCTTCAACTGGAGACATCAGAGGGGAAATAAGAGGACTGATTCTTTTCCTCACAGAGTACTAAATTTTTATTAGGCTATCTCTTAACACGTGATTGTTGCTTGATATCAAGGCCTTCTTAACTGACACCTTAACCTACAGGAGAATATCTATTTCCAACCTCACTTACCTATCATTGGCATTTATAATCCAATCTGCAATACAGACCAGGCCTGCTGCATAATAATATAACTTCAAATTAGGTGCTACAAGGTCTCCCCTCTCCTTTACATCCTGAAGGATTTTAGGATGATCCTCGACTTCTTGCCATTCCAAATAAAAAGATTTAGTTGCCTCTGCCATTCTTGGAGAACTTTTCCTGATAGTACAACTGGTATCATCTGAAAGAGAAAGTTCAGTTTAGGTAGTACATTCATTTTTATAATTGCAGTTCTTCTCAACCAAAATGCTTTTAATTTAGTCCATTTTTGTAAATCTTTTTGGATCTTTGTCTGTTATGACATTTTCATCAACAAATCAGCTAAAAGTGGGCTAGATAGAACAACTATTAGATATTAATCAAACTCAGAGAGTAGTTGTCAGTCTTTTCAAACTGGGGAGAGGTAACAATTGGGATACTACAGGGCTAAGTCCTGGAACCAGGGCTCTTCAACATTTTTATTAATTTGGACAGGGAGATGCAGGGAATGCTAATCACACAATTGGGTGTAACACATGGAAGCTAATATGTGGAAATCAGAAACAAAAATCAAAATGATCTTTATAAGCTGGAGTGCTGGGCTGAAAGGAACAGAATGAAATTGAGTAGGGACAAATTCTAGATTTTGCACCTAGGAAAAGGAAACCAAATGCACAGTCACAAGAGAAGGAATACTTGGCTCAACAATACCACAAATGAGAAGGATCTTAGAATTGTAGATCACAAGCTGAATATGAATCAACAATGTGATGTGGCTGCAAAAAGGGCAAATGCTATTTTAGGCTGTATTAATGGAGGTTATCACTTTCAAATCAGAGGAAGTACTAGTTCCCCTTTATTCAGCACTGGTTAGGCCTCATCTGAAGTACTGAGTGCACTTCTGGGCACCACAGTTCAAGAAAGATGCAGAGAAGCTAGAAAGGGTTCAGAGGAGGGCAACAAGGACGATCTAAGGAGTTCCAGTTTTTCTATTCTACTATTCTATTCTGGTCTGGTGTCTCAGCTTTGACCATTCCACCTTGGGTGACCTGTTAGGAAACCAGCCTAGGGAGAGTCTGACCTCCTGATGCGTTGCTCTTGGCTTCTCTAACACTCTCAAACTCCCTTACCAGAATAAGGCTTACATCCAAAAGAGAATCACTCCATCTATTAAGCATCGTCTAACAAAATTTCTACCCTGTGTCTGTGAAGTCATAAACAGCTATAACTCTCTTAATATGTGTCTGTATCCCACTGATGATTCTACAGATCAATAGGCATAACTTTCATTGGTAAAATCATGCAGTTGTTGACACATAGCTAAGCCAGAGAAAAAGCTTTTCTAGAAATCAGCATGTGTGAATCCTTGAAATGTAGCTGAATTTAACCAGTCACCATTCCAGAGAGGGCCAGACTGATAAAGGCAGTGCAAACAAAGGGCAATTCACACCAACCCACCCTATCCGCCTCCCCTCCTTCCCAGCTTCTTCCTTCTGCTTTGTTATGTGGCCAGGAAAGACCAGTCCATTGTAACTTTTTACTTCTGTAACCTATTAGAAAGTGTCAACTGTGCTGCATGTAACCCTTTAATCATTAATGCAGAAAAGGGCCAACTGAGGACTGCTCAGGTGCACCATCTGGAAGAATTCGTTGGCAGCCAGTTACTCTCAAGAATGAACAGTTTAAAAGAAAATGTTTAATTTCTTCATTGTATACATATTTTGGGCATGCACACACCAGGACATGGACCATTTGGTGAACACTATCTCTGTCTATCAGGATTTTGTGAAAAAATATAGAATTAAAGTTAATAATAAATGCCATACATATATATTTGCGAAGAATTATATTAATACCGATAAAAGAAGATGGGTCAGAATTGTGAGTACAGAAATATGGTTAATTAATCCAGTGTTATCTGCATGCAAAATGGTGTAAATGCTTGTACGTAACGAGTACAAACCAATCCCTAAGTATTCATTTGTTCTTTTTGGGAAAAAACCCCAAGGTTTAAAAAAATTACAGGCCTTTTGCATCATTTCAGAACAAATTATGTACACTGAAAACATTTTCCAGTCACAGCTTTTCTTGGCTTCAAATGAGTCCAATGATGCAGCCATAGGATGCGGAAATCTATTCTGGGTCTATCTCTCTGGATGCATCCCAACCAAAATACCCCTGAATAAAAAACATTACAGGAACATTGCTGAAAAGCCTTTGACCAGTTCACGTGAGAAAAGCATTTTTCGTTTCAGCAGAAAGAACGGGTCTGAAACTAGACAGACCAACTTAATTCATTTTCTTATGCCATTAATAGAATATTTAATACGATAGTGACTTCGGGAAAGAGGGAAAATTTCACGCGTTATTTACTCCAAATTAATTATCTCGCAGTGCAAGCAGTGGAGTAGGTCTTCGTGACGAGACAACCTACTTGTAACCTGGTTTCCATGGGAGCGCCCTACAACGTCACCAGCTCGGAGGAAGACTCCTCCGCCCTTCTCACCAGCCTTGCGCACGCGCACACCTTCCCCTCGTCATGTGACGCAGCTCAGATTTTTCTCCTTTCGCCCCACCTCTCCTCCAGAGCGAAGAATTATACCCGCATGCCACTGCTAGCATCGCCTTTCCCGTGTCACGTGGCTCTAGCGGGTGCCGGTTTCCGGAAGTACGTCACCAGCTCGGGCCTGGCTCCACTTGAGTCCGCCCCCCTCTCGTAACTTCGATTCGAAACAAAACAAACCGCGGGGGCGGGAGTCGCCGGGGCCTGTGGGGGGAGGGTGCCGGTGAGTGGCTGTGAGGGGTGCGGAGGCGCGGCGGAGCCGGTGGGGCACAAGGGCGGGGCTACCAGTGGGAGGTGGGTCCAGCGAGCCCCTCGGGAGGTGGGGCCTCGAGGGGGCGAGTGAGGAGGCGGGGCCTGGGGGCGCCTGTAGAGGGGACACTTGCGGAGGGGGGGAATGTCTCTGTGGGGATAGGGGGTGTTGGAGTGGTTTAAATGGGATGTCGCGGCGCTGAGCCGTCCCGTCTCTTGGCCTGGCCTCAGGAGGGGGCCTCACGGCGCCTCAGGTGTGCCTTTGCTTTTGGCTCAGGAACTGTCAGTGTACAGGTGCCTCCCTTTGGCCTGAGAGTTTGGTGTACTTTGCATACGAGGGGGACCACAGTGGGTGCTGGAGGCTGGTTTGGGGCCTGGTAATCTTACTGCAACCTTGTTTCTTTCTGCTGCATGCTGGGGCTTTGTGTGCCGAACTTCAGGGCCTGGCGGCAGAGCTTGTTTTCTGTAGCAAGGATGATGTTACCGCTGGAATATATTTGTACTCCAGATAGTGCAATTTTTGTTGGCAGCCCTCTTGTAATTAACCTCCCTAGACATAATTTGGGATACATTTTGCTACTTAATAGCAATTAGTTCGATTTATAGACAGCAGAGAGATCCTTGCTGCATTATTGTCCCTTGTTGTAAATGCATTTGTATTCAACAAAAGACTCAATTTATAAATCTATGTTCAACTTACACCAGAGTCTTTTCAGTTGCATGGGATAAAGTCTGTTGGAAGGCCTTTTTGGGAGTTTGCATGTAATATTTAGGGAAGCAGGAGGAGTTTGAGAACAAAACTGAGTAGCAGCCTTTGCTGTTCCATCCAAATAGAGCAGGCAGTAGAGAGGATTGTATCATGTGGTGCAAGCAAACTAGTGAGAAATTGAGAGCAGTCCCATGGTTTGAAAAAGCTAAGGGGCTTGCTTAAGTTGCTGCAATCTAAATAGCAGAATGCAGCCACTTCATATCACAGCATGAGATGAGCAGCCTTGATCACCAATCAGATATTCAGAACACAACGTTATGACAACCTGTGATAAGTTGGATCATAGCAACTTAAATAAGACTCACTCTCATGCTGAATTGGAATTACTATTTTTTGGGTCCGCTGAGCTTGGAGCTCCAAAAAGTGAGGGTGATGTTACTGTAGGGGTATATTTATCCTTCCAATTGGTGTAATTTTGTTTAAATAAACAAATGATAAGCTTAATTTGGTCTAAATTTAACTACTTGATACCAATTAATAACACTTGGACTATAATCTTATATTCACATCTGCGATGGGACTTTCTAGGACTTTGCTCACATTATTGTAGTAATACTTAAAATAAATCTGCAAGGCCAGCTAGTGTTTTTGATCTTTGTTAGCTATTGCTTTCAGCCATTGAGAGCTTGGATGCATTCTTTGCTTTTCACAAGATGTGGAAATTGTTGCTTTGCCTTTTTTTTTTTTTTAGCAGGTTGATCCACAGTTCAAAAACTCACTGTTTTATTCTGTCCATACCAGTATGGGTAGCTGAGAATTTCCACTTGATTGGCATCCTGCAATTGGTTATTTAACTCACAATGAGGCTGGGGTGTGTGCAATTTATTTATTGCATTTGTGTGCTGCCCCATAGCCAGAGGATCTCTGGGTGACTCACAGTGCAATATGAAAATACAAATAAAAATAAACTGTAGTAACAACCCAAACCTATACAAATACGCAAACCCTACTTAGGGTTAAGTCAGCAACCATAAGATATGTGAGGGTTAAATAATCATTTTATAGTTATGCAAGAGTTGCTTAATTCTTGCATAACCCACATTCTTTGGGTTTACCTGGCAGGACAATCTCAGAGCAGGGGCTGTATATCCATGGTTATGCCCAAAGGTGCACTCAACTTACCATAGGTTAAATAATTCACAATGAGCTGTGGCATGTCAATTGAATTTGGCCAGTTTCTCATTTCTCTCCTTAAGACTTTTACTCATGTATTAAAGAATCTATTTTTTATCTGTGGTGTATTTTGTCAAAGTGATTAATCTTGCTAGTTTTTAGGTAGAACTGGATACATTTATGAGGTGTATGAATTGTTCTCTAATTCTTTGGAGATGGCCCAGCTAGGTCAGGAAGCAGGTTCACTTTTTTCCACTTACCCATTCCTTGGTGTCTTTTCCCAAGATTGTTTCATCATCTAACCACATTCTCTGCAGCATATTCTATAATGAGAAATATCTTGTTGGATAGCTTAAACTGTCTTTGTCTCAGTGAGTGGCTTGGCCCACCTGTCTGAGTGCTCTGGCATTACTTGCTAAATGGGCACCTTAGTAATATGCCTGCTTTCTAATGGCATGGATATTTGTAGCTTGGATTTCATAGGTTGGTATCCCTCAATAAAGCATAAAAGTATTGCTGTATCAGAATAAAGGTCATTCTGGATTGACATTCTGTTCATACAGTTGCCAGCCAGCTAACTGTAGGAAGCTCCAGAGTAGAGCCTGAATGTACTGCTCATCTTTTTGTTCTTTGATATTGTTCAATCATAATTTTGTGAGGGGATGGAAAATGAGCAGTGAAGGAGCATATTAGAGGTAAATGGGGAATTCCCTGAGTGGAGCTGGAGCCTTATGAATGAACTGGTAAAAAGGATGTTGTTTGAAGGCCACATGTTTCGTTTTCTGAAATTGCTCCAGGTAAGTCAGTAGAGGGTAGCTTATGACCCTTCAGATGTTTTGTTTTAGGAGTCCCAGCCTAGCCAGTGAAATAGGATGATGGGAGTTTGGGCCTACAAGTTGTCTACCTCTGAATTATTTGGAACTCTCTAAAGTCTAGCATGGCTTGTGAGGTAGTACCAACCCAGATTTAGCTGCCCTCACTGACTTAGTAATAACTTAGTAACTACTGGATCCAAAAGACATGGTATCTACAGGTTAGATTTCTGTGTGATGATCACTGCCTTTCCTAGTCAAAGAGCTTGGCAGATGATCAGTCTGGACTGTAACCCCAGATCTTCCCCTTGCACTTGTTCCAAAATGGTTGTTCCATCTTGAAGCTTTCAGTGCTCAAGAGAATAGTGTTCATAGCTAAGAGCCAGCTATCATTTTTTGGTTCCTTTAGTACTGGTGCAACTCTAGGGTTGTTAGCTGGGTGCAGGACAGCTTCAGCCTGTAGTGCCCTCTTGCACTTAGACAAGTAGAGGTTTCTCTCTTTCTTCAGCATCATAGTTGATGTCTTTGCTGCTGCTGTTTTATCTTGTGTGCTATGCCCTGAGTGACAGGAGTGGTTTGGGCATGTACATCTGTGTCTTGCTCAAGAGATCATTTCTATTGTATAAGTCAAATAGGTGGCTTCCTTTTGCTTGGCCCATGGAATACTCTGGAGGACTGAGTTGAACTTGGAAATAACAACTTAGGCATTTCAGTGTGGTATGGTCCTTTCAGGTTCCTAATTCTGAAATATTTTGGATATATATAAAATTAATAATTACGTTATTTAATAATTAAATATGCTTGTGACCATGGATGGTGAGGAATGTTACGTCTACCAGAAACAGGAAAAGACATTACAGTTCCACTGGTGAGGGAAGAACAAGGAGAGGAGACAAGGCCATGACTTGGTGAACTCATTGGAGAGGCCTAGTGGGCCTTGAAGGGCTTGCAAGGCTGCCTGTAGCAGACATGTCCCTTTGTGCTTCAAGGATCCCTGGAATGCATGTGCCTGATTACACTTCAGTGATCACATTTTCCAGGTGACTCTTAAAATCAAGGGTGAAGTTACACAGCAGAAGGTGATTGATAAACCACAGTAGCTTGTTAGCCACTCCCACGTGTGCTGGCTCATCCCTGTTCACCCCTGGCAGGCATGGGTTTTTGCAATGTATGAACCTGGTAAGCACAGTGGAAGGAAGGAACTGGTGAAAGGAACTTCAAAAGTCCAACCCTCTGCTGATAGTGCAGGAAATCCTCTGCTTGTTTCTGCTGAAGGCATAGCCATTTCAGATCTTTTGTACAGGTGACTGTTACTCTTAAGATTCTTTTCTGGAACTTGGGTGGCATTTTGAAGTAAGAGTTTCCAGACTTCATCTCTGTACCGAGAATCAGTAGGGGGAATCCACTTTCTCTAGAGTATACTTCTGAAAAAAATAAGCAGATATCTTGGGTTCCTTATATGGTAGTCTAATACTTTCTGAGAAATGAAACTGAAAGTCGCATTTGACAGCCAGGGCACTGTGTTAGCTAAGGTAAGACCTGTAGGCATTCTAGCAGGGAAAGAACCTAGAACAGTGGCCAGCCAGTGGGAAGCCTGTGTTGCTCACTCTGGCTGGTAGTAGCAAACAGGAGTGTGTCTGATCTCTTTGAAGAGAGTCTTTTACTGTATTTCAAGTGCCCTTCTGAATGCCTGAAAAAGGCAAGCAAATGGAAGGAAGACACCAAGGGCTGTCTTTAACTTAAAGGAAATTCTACTTGCTTTTGCTCCAGTTAAGAGAATTGTATTGTTTTCTGAAGCAGCATGTTAACATTCTGCTTGGAAACCAACAGCCTTGTACTTAGCTGTTCTGAATGTAGTGAGTAATGGGAAGGGATCAAATAACAGTACCACGTGGTTGTTCCGCTAGAGCTTCACCAGAATGGCCTTCTATGTGGAAAGAATATTGACTGTTTTATTTTGACTGTGGGCATGCCATGTGAAATAAAATCCCAATCTCAAAATTATCACTTCTAGTAGTTTTTCCTAAGTTGAACTAAACCCTAAAATCGCCTTGACAGGATATTATTGCCACTATCCATCAGTAGTATTTACTCTCCCTACAAAATATTACATTTCATTGGTCTGTCAGTTGGAGTGTGTTATTTCTGGAGCGCAGGCCTTATTGCAGAGTAAGTCTGAGTAAGGCTTCTGTTAAAGCTGTACCCTTAAGTGCTCTTTTCCTCCATGTACCCTCAGGCATTTGTTCCTTGCAAGAGAGATTGACCACAAAGAATCGCCAAGATAGCTGGCTCCGGAAGAAAGCGTCGCACCCCTGACCCAGACTCTGTCACTGACCCCGGTGGGCCGTTTGTTTCATCCAAGCGGCTGAAAATGTCCAGTAATGCCAGCATCTCTGGGCAGAGGAAAACAGCACGGGGTGTGGAAGATGCGACCAATAAGAAAAAGCAGAAGGATCGAGCTAATCAGGAGAGTAAGGAAGGCGAGAGGCCAGTTGGCAGTGACTCAAAGAAAGGTAGGGCTTCATGCTGTAGGTATGCATTACCATGTTTATCCATTAATAGCTGGAAAGCTATCTGAGCAGGGCCTGATAACTGTAGAGGAGATGGAGTATCTGAGTCAGACTTGGGAAATCCCAGAGAATCTAGTGTAACCGGAGTGAGAAAATTACTTCTAAATTCCTGGGCATTCTGGTTCTTTGCCTTTTGTTTAGCACTTACAGTGCAAAAACTGCTGCACAGAATCCAGCTGCTAAACCATGCTAGGCAACTAGATGTTCTGCAGTTCTTTTGAAGTACAACTCTCATGAGACCCAAGCAGCATGGGAATTGTGGGAGTTGTAATCTAAAATGTTAAGGGAGCAGTGGGTTGTCTGCCTGTTAAGCTGTCTCTGCCCAAACAGTTTATAGATTAATTACCCCAAGATCATACCTTTATTTTGGATCAATTTATCAGGCAGAACTAGCACCTATTCATTGCATGGTTCGTTCTGCTAATGATTTGGAATTTCCATCCCACTTGACACATACTGAAAGACTGAAGTTATTCCTTAGCCACTCTTCAAAATAACCATTTTATTATGAATACAATAAAGGAGCATGAAGGAATAAATCACCTGTGTTGAGTGAATATTTACCCATTCCAACTGAGCTTGTAGATGTAACGCAAGTATAATGGGCTATAGTAGGGGTGCAAACCTGTGCAAGTTTATACAGAAAAGATTCATACAACTCCCAGGATTTCCTAGCCAGTATAGTAGGTGTAAATGGGAGAAAGGAGCAAGGATGATTAACAGCAGATCAGCTTATGTGGGAACAGAGAGGGAGATGGGATGAACTTGATGACCAGTTGCTATAAATTAATCTTGAAACTGGCAAAGATCTGGTTCAGAGGATTAAGGAGGGCATGACAATTTCATAGTAATCATGCTTGACCCCACTCTTCTTGGTCATATAGCTGCCCATGACATGGAGTGAGTGTGATTTAGGAATGATTTCAATTATTCTCTATACAGATCTCATTTTAGCTGTCGTGGCTTCATATCGAGGTTCCTCAAACACTTGGGACTAGCATGCGAAGGAGTTTGAACCCTTCTCTTCTGGATGTAATAATTCACAGTGGTAGCTCTTTCCTAGCCCCATTACTTGTGGATTGTGTAATGGATATCTGATCGTCTACAAAGCAGTAACTATCATCAATCTCTCCATCTGGTTATATTAGCTTCTTGATTAGTCTTTACAGCCAAGACAGTTGCCTTCAGAAGGATATAGCCAGGGCTTTTCTGAGTGCACCTGTGGAATCAGATCCCTGTCATGCCACAATCTTGATGCAAAGTTGCAGACTTAAGTGCTATTTTGTCAATAGAAGAGTTTCAAGGCTCTCTCCAAGCCTTACACAAAAAGGGAGTCTGTCTTTATAGCTCTGAATACATAGCCAAATGCCACTGCTGTTGGACAGGCTATCTATTTTACAGGGTCTTGTGTATACAATTTTAGTGAATTAAATCAAGGAGTGATAATGTTATCAGATGTTCAGTAGCAGAATTGCTAGTAATATTGTCAGAGGTATTTGGAGGTGCTCTCCATAGAACCTCTAGAATTAAAGGTACAGACAATCTGACACTAATGGTATTGAATTGCATCTGATACTATTTGCTTGCCTCGAATAGTATATAATAGTAGTACTGCTAGTTATTGTAACATTGGTGGTGTAGAGAGGGCGAAGTCCTGAGGCTAGCAATTGCTTTCCCTTGGTGTTGATAAAAGCTGCCTTACAGCACCGCTGTCTAAATTCAGTCGGGAGAAGGGCAGCTTAGAATGGGACTACAGAGGGACACATAGCAATGATTCATTACTTCATCTTGCTGTAAATCTTCTTAGTAGATTATTACAGCAATTGGATGTTCAGCCAGCTCAGGCTGATTCAGTGACTTGTCCCTCTTGAATTAGTAGTTTCAGTCATATTGTCACTGTTTTGTAGCTTTGCCTTCCTAATATTACCAAGTTCCCTTGTTTTTGCATGCACACAGACTCACATTAGTACCTGACAAACCTAGAAAGAGAAGGGATCTGTTGCAGAGATGTGGTGCACAAACAGCACATGATGTGCTGTTCCGCAAGATGGTAGGAAAATGAGTCCATTGCCAAGGATTATGAAGAAATAACACTGCTCTATATTACCTTAAATATTTTCAGAAAAAAAGAAATGCATTAGTGTATCTGCCTTACAACACTAAACCTGCCTATTTCCGCTAGCGACAACAGAGAGAGATGCAGGCTGGTGGGCAGTGGCAAGGAATTATCCTTCACCAAATAAGGAGAGGGAAGGATGGGAGGAAACGGGGCAAAGCTGGACTTGGGATTCTGTGTGCAGCAGGTCGGTGGGGCACCCAGGGGGCATGCTTAGTGTGATTTCAGGAGAAAAAAGAATAGCCAAAGTAGATATATTTCCTATGTTTCAATTTTAGAAGAATCCAGAGGACCTTATTTTTCTGGTTGGTCACTGATACTTTAAAAACTCGCTATGGGTATAGACCACCATCTGATCCACAAATTCAAAATGGTGCAAAGACCTAGATCTTATCTGCTCAGATATGATTCTGACTGAAGTGATGATGGGAAGACTGACTGGATGACTGCCTAAGCTGGAACTGTGGAACCAAATATTTTGGTGTTAAAATAATAATTTGAAATGGAGAGCTGGCAAAAAAAATCACCTCACTCTCTAGATCCTGGTTAATCTGAAACAAATACCAAACATAAAGAGGGGTAAGGGCAGTAAGAGGTAGGAGGCAAGGAAATGAAGTTAGATAAGAAGAAGGGTATGTAGTTGCATTGGGCTCAAGAGCCTGAAACTCTTGGTGCAATACTAAAGACTCCCTACTTATCCACTCTATGGGTCTGTTATTGGGCTTCAGGTTAGCAGTTCCATTGATGTTGCTTTTTCTTTGTGCTATACAGGCAAAAGGTTCCAACAGGCCTCAACAGGTCAATGACCCTAAGTGTGTGGTTATATACTGAAGGTGTCCCAAGCTAAAATGCTGAGGTCCCAGTATGACTGGCCTGCCATTTGAGAAACTGCAATGGGTGCTTCACCGTGGGATGAAACTCTAGTTGGATAAACAAGGCAGCAGGGTGGTTCAAGCGGAAAGGTAGAGAACTGTTGGCCCGGGGTTGTGTGCTACCCCAGTTGGTGACTGTTGGGCACCTCATGGGTAGCAAGCTCCCTCCTCTATTCCCCCCTCCCCCATGGATAATGTGGAGGACACAGTGGGAACATAAGCGTTCCCCCATCCCGGCTGCAAGCCCTCTCGGGCATCCCATGGCTTGGATTTGCTGTCTAATTTTTCTTCCTGAGATTGTGTGTACTCAGTCATTGGTGTGTGCATTGTGCTGAGGAAGGTGATCTTGGGAGAAAGAGTGTGAGGTGCTCCGGCCCTGCCTAAGCGCAGCATGCAGTACCCCAAGAGAATCTGCGCCTTGCTCAGGTCTCTGCAAATGTGATACAGACCTTCTTGATGTGCTGTAGCTAAGAGGAAAGCAAGGACATTTGTTTCTTTTCTCTGTGGTGCTGACATCAGAAACTGATAATAGAAGGAGAATGAGGGATCAAGATAAATAGCAAATCTTACAAGTAACAATAATATGACATTTCTAAAATACGAGGAAACATTGATGAAATGTGGGTTAAAACTGCACTACAGAAGATGCCAATTAAAACACAGTAATTAATACAACATAAAACTCTATAGAACATAAGAAATTATAAAACATTGTCTTTGTGTTTTGAATAGCTAGCTGTCTGTACAATTTAACCGAATACTTTAGTGATGTAGCTTTCTCACTGCTTCAGTAGAGAGGGGGTGGCCCTGAAACTGGCCTTTTTGATGCATGAGAGTGCCTTTGTAATTTGATACTCACAGCAGGATAGAAAGATGTTTTGCCTGTCCCTATAACTCATCTATATTTTTTCTATTGATTCAAAAATTGTCTTTTTGCTGCATAATGTTAACTATTATTATTATTGTTAACTATGTTTTACCATTAAGCAATGTAGTCTATTACATTGTTGAATTAGTTGTATTTTCTTTTTACATGCACCTTTTGTTATGCAATTTAAGCCACAATCTATGCATGTTTTATAACATTTTATCAATTTTATAATTGTATTTTTTCTGGTAAGATAGGCACTTTGTCCTGATCTTATTCTTGTTTTTATTGGCCAGGAAATTATCTCCTGATATGAAACCTGCCTCCTGTTTCCACAGGCCAGACAGCCTCAGTGAGCTTGTATGCCTTGTTACTTTCCTCTGGGCCAATGTTATTCCCTCCTCCTTGAGTAGGCAGGTTCCTTATCCTGGCAGCAGTGGGTAGTTCTGCAGCGGTGTGCTGTTTAAAAACATTACCTTAAAAATAACGTAAGGAGCAGAAGCTTTGTGCAACTGGCATTTTTGGCAGTGGCTGCTCTGATGGCTCATGGCAAAGCAGCACACCTCTCATATGTTTCTTTGATCACTAGAGCCTTCCCCTGGCCTGGAACTGATAGAGCCCAGTTGGCAGAGGGAGTCTGAGGAGGGTAAGTCAGAGAGGTGCATGCCTACATGGGGCTCAGCTCCTGAGCCACCCGATCTCTTCTCACCATGTGTTCATCTCACCACTGTTTAGCTTTTTCCCTTCAGGCCTAACAAGCAGTCTAACAAGCAGTAGACATCTAATGGCCTAACAAGCTGTAGAAGCAGCATGACAGAGAAGGGGTGCCATGACTACCATGGAGCAAACAGCTGTCTGACTGCTTCAGTAGAGCAGGGGCAACCCTGACACTAGCCGTCTTGAGGCATGAAAAGCATGTGCTGAGAAAATGAGTGTGTAGGGGTTAGAACACAGGAGCATTTAGTGCCTGCTGTTTCAAGCATGTTGGGTCTCTTTCCCATGGATGAGACAAGTGGTTATAGATCTGTGTCAATAATCATCTCATTTTATTCATTTCCAGCATTTAGTAATCAAATATGTAATATTTGGGATTTTTATAATACTTCAGTCTCTTTAAAGTGATTCACATGCATCATTTGCAAAATTCTTACACCATCCTGATATGAAACTGAGTGTGAGCAGCTTGCTCAAGGTCACCTAGTAAGTTCATTACCGAGGTGAAATATTCTTTGAACAGGGATGGGCTTGACTTATGCACTGCACCAGCTCCCAGCATCTTGTTTAACATGCTAGTTCTGAAAATGAATGTTTTATTTTGTGTTACAATAACAAAAAGTATGTACTAGTTGCCATCCTAACATCACATGCAGCAATGAGTTCTTATGTATCAGTTAGACCATATCTCAAGAGAATATGTCTGGATACTTGCACTTTATTAAGTGTTCCACATTATTTCAGATCCTTTACTTGAAGCCGAAATCCTGTAGTTCATTCTGCTTTGGATCAGCAAGTGCAAGGTTGGCATTACACATTTCTTCTTTTATTTTTTAGACCTGCTGCTGGACTGGAAGCAAAATGATCGTGAAGTCATTATAAGGCTGAATGTGGGCAGTGGGGTCCCAAAACCAGAAGAAGTAGATACATGTTTTACAGATACAAGTTGTGTTGTCAAGTTACCTGGTGAGTGACTATAGCTTTTTGTTCATATTTCATAGCAGGAAAATGAACTACTTTTTGTCTTTTCTTTTTTAAACTTTTTCATTTCCACTCAGAAATGAAGTGATCATCAGAAATTGCCTTTGCCTAAAGCAAAAACAGACAGCAGGTAAAACAAAGTCAGAGTCAAAGAAGCAACAAAGCTGTGCTAGATGGGATCATGCATGGACTTCTGCCTTGTCAGGAATAAGAAGACTATGTCCTACCCTTCTGTGCAAAAATAATGGAGAATTAGACATTTACATGCTGAGTTAACACATAAGAAGTGTATTACCTGGGGAGACTCTTGAGCATTAGCAAAAAGAGCTGTTGGTGATTTTCAGGGTGAGGTTCTCTGATTCATAAGTCAGTATGGAAAGTGAAGAGGATTCAGACCTAGAGCAATATATTCTTCCTGCAGTATAGTTTATAGATCTGGGAATTTAGGAAGACACTCATCCAGCTAGAAGTGTTGCAGAAAGGGGGAGGAAAGGGTGGACATCAGGCTAGTCAGAAATCTTGGGAGATTTTTTTTTTAAATTGAAGCTTTCTTTAGTTGCTGCTTCAGATGCTACAGTCTTTAGGTTGGGGGACCTGTTAAATCCTGCTGCCATAACAAATCTCTGTTAGACTTTGAATTTTCAAGCCTCTGGGGGAAGAAGAGACATGGGAAAGACCAAAAAGTGTAGAAACATACTTGCAGTTATTATTCCATGGACAGCACAGTGTAGAATTTATTATGGAGGAATTGGTGCAGTATCCTGAGAGAGATAGTGTTTTGTTCATTTTTTTAAAGATCCCACAGAGCTGCAGAAATAAGCCTGAAAACATGTTGCTCGGTATTACTGCTGTTAAACATACTCAGCACACAGGAAGTAGCAAAAGTCTTGGACAGGAGATGCTAGTGCTTAGGGCATGGATTTTACTTTGTACGATTATTAGCCATTCTCCAAATTTCTCAGCTCACTTCTCCCTCATTCACACTGAACCATAATTTATAACCCCCCTTTTCCCTCAGTCTTTCACCAAATTGATAATAGAAACTCTTCTCTCCAAACAAGTCTTCAAATAAAAGAATAAACAAAGCTACTCTGCAAACTGTATGACATACTGTATCAATAAACCAAATCTATTAGTAGCTCAAGTCTTCATGCAAAATGTTGGGCAACTGCAAAACTGGCTGAACTGTTCCAGAGTCTCATGCGGATGGCGCAGCATTGTCCTGGTTCTGTAAGCATGCCGGTTCTTCTCTTTCGGTCAGGCTGTGTCTTGTCCAACATGAGCATAATCATATTCTTGGAGTGCATGTCAACAGACAATTTAACTTTGCACTGTCAGTGATGACTTGCAGTGACCTAGAATCATAGGATATTAGAGTTGGATGTGGCCCAAAAGACTGTAAAATCCAACCCCCTGCTTAGTGCAGGATTCCAAGTTACAGCATCCCTGGCAGATCGCTGTTTGTTTGCATCTTGTATGCCTGCAATGTGGAGGATTCCACAACTTCCCTAGGTACTTGTTTCCATTGCTCTAACTCAGGAAGTTTCTTCTGAAGTCCAGCCAGAATCTGGCTTCCTGTAACTGGAACCCACTGTTTCATGGCCCTGCACTGTCGGCATGATTAAGAGATCCTGGCCCTCTTCAGTGAGACAACCTTTCAAGTATATGAAAAGCATTGCCATATCTACCCTTGGTCTTTTCTTTGGGCTAAACTGCCTGGTTTGCTCAGCCTCTCCTCCTGGGACCTTTCTTGCAGCCCTGTAATCATCTGAACCTTTTAACAGTTTGTTTGCATCCTTCTTGAAGTGTTGTACCCAAAATTGGACGTGGTACTCCAGATGGAGCTTAACTGATGCCAAATAGAGGGGAAGCTGCATTTCTGTTAATGGAGCCCAAAATAGCATTTGATCTTTTTTTGCAACTGCCTCACATTGTTGGCTCATATCCACCTTTTGATCTTCAGCAATATCAAGATCCTTCTTGCTTGTAGTATTGTTGAACCAAGTATCCAACACCTTGTTACTGTACGTTGTTCCTGTTTCCTGGGTGTCAAACTCGGCATTTGTCCCTATTGAATTTCATTCTGTTTCTTTCAGCCCAGTGCTCCAGCTTTCCCAGTCCTGATTCCTGAAATCTGTTCCTTGGAGATGCCATTCAGAAGCCTGGTGCAGGTGCAGGTGCTGCCCTACTTAGGGATGGAACCTGCATTTGTGCCGTATTAGGAAGGGAAAGTTAGTGGTACAAGCACAAGACTGTTGCCCTATATGTTGTCTTTTCCTCACCCCTCAGATGGCCGCCAATGGAGCTGCCAGTTCTATGAGGAGATTGAGAGCTCCTGCAGCAAAGTCCAGTACAAGAAGGGCAATATTCTACAGCTGGTGCTGCAGAAGAAGATCCCCTTGCACCACTGGGCTTCACTCTTGGTAAGGTTCAGTTTGTTCTATCTTGTTCATGCATGTGGTCTCTTCTTTAGTTTAACCTTTGTTGAAACCTTGAATCCTAACAAGGATGGTTAGAATGGGAGGTAAGGTAGCTCTCTCCTTGCTCAGACTTACTGGCATGTTACTGTAGGGTGACACATTGATTGTAATGACTGCAGGTAGACAGTCTCTCGCTCTCTGTCCATGGCTGGCATACGTCTGCTCCTTGTAGGCAGATGTACCACATCCATTAAACTCAGAGGGTTGTATCCAATGCCAAACTTGTTCCATTAATGTCAGTTGATGGAGTACAAAGGACTAACGGAATATAACCCAATGACTGATCAGAACTTTCTTCTCTCTCTACTTAATATGATAGCTTTAAGCTTGATTTAATGCTTTATTTCCAGAAACGTGGCAAAGAAGGCTCAAGGGAGCAGACCAAGAGAGCTGTGTGTAAGGAGAATGGCAAGGAGAAACCTGCTTCGATGGGGGAATTATCTGATGAGTCCCAGCCTGATAGCACCATGGAACCATGCAAAGGCAAACGAGAATCCTCCAACCCGAAGCGAGCTCCAGAGAAGAATGAAGCTGCCGGAGGCAGGAACTCAGCCCGCGTGGGGATGCCAACAGGCCCTATGGCCAAAAGGGCAGTGTGTGTCAATGTCAGTCTGTCTAAGGAGGAAGGGAGCAGCAGCAGCAGCAACACAGGCAGCACTGGGCTCTCTGAGCAAGCTGGCAGCCAGAGGAATGGCCAGGGAGCCCAGGACGATGCTCTGGCAGACGAGGTGAGGAGCGGCGGGGATGGTGTGATCCGCTGTGATCTTTTGACCCAAGGCAGGAAACTTGCACTTTGCTTGTTCATGAGAACTGTGCCAAAAGGGGCAGTAGGCACATCTTTCCCCTATGGCATGCCCAGGTACTGGCTTTTCTAATGGTTATAGGCCAGGTGATTTAAAGAATGGCGTGTATGACTGCCAGATCTCTGTGGTATGCCTCACAGTTAAATATTCTGCTGTAGCCATCTCTGCACCACATAGTGCCTCTTACTTTTCTCCCTGTGTTGCCAGGCTGACAATCTGGAGAGGGAGTCATCACCCATGGAAATGCAGCTGCCTTCAGCTCCTGCAGACACACTGCCCCATCAGCATCAGCCATGCCCAGAGAAAAGGATTCCACTGCCATCTGTTTCTTCTGAGGCTGCACAGGGGCCAGAAGCAGTTTCTGCCTTCAGCAAAGGCCTCTTTTCCTCCATATCTTCCAGAGATACTGAGAAGAGAGACTGGCCCAGGGACAGTGATACTCTAGAGGCTGTTGCTAATGGTGAGGAAGGCTGTGGGTCATGTATTGGAAGCAGAGGGGTTACCGAACTCTTTCTGGAGATTTATATCAATCTAATCTGCAGAATAGGAATAGTCCCTTTCTGTTTGCCAAAACTGGGCATGGACAAAGACTGTATTTTGTGCAGTTTACTTGATGTACCAGACTTGGACCCAGGTAGAGACTTCTGCATTCTGAAACTGTGCTTTCGTTTCTAAAACAACTGGTTAGCCCTTAATAGGCAAAGGTCTGTAGCTCAGTGCTGGAGCACATACTTTGTATGCAGAAGTTCCCACATTGCCAGGTGGGGCTGAGAAACATGCAGATGCACTCAGAAACCATGCAGAGGCCCTGCCAGTTGGGGTAGATTAGACTGAGCAATGTGGCCTATTGGTCTGACGTGGCTGCTTCCTTTATTCCCAAGCTTATAACTAGGCTTGAAAATGTTTGAACAAGAAGAACAGGATCGTAGCTGGGAACATCTCTGCTCAATGAGACAGCAGTGAACTAGATGAGCCAGTGCTCTGACTTGGTGTAATGTTTATGCCTGATGAAGTCTTAGAAGCTGGGATGAGGGTGTGACTAAGGCTGCTTAATGGCCTCCTTTGGCAAGAGCTGGCAGGATCAGTGGTTGCTTCATTGTTTGGATCTCCTGTGGTACTCTTGTGGCTGTACCAAAAACATTGGCTTTTCTGGAACTGTAGTCACCTTTTATGGCTTACACTTGCTTGGGTGCTGTAGAGGCGATATTCAGAGAATCTGCATTGTCGCTGCTGTTACTGTAGTTGTCACTGTTACTGTATTTGTTTCCTCCCAATCTCAGAACCGGAGTCCATTGTGAATCTGACATTTGTGAAGAATGATTCGTATGAGAAAGGGAATGATTCTATGGTGGTTCATGTTTACGTGAAGGAGATTCACAAGGAGAGGTCCAAAGTGCTCTTTCGGGAACAGGATTTCACGTTAATGTTTCAGACAAGGTACAGCAACTCCTGAAGGTACTGCTTTGCTGTTAGTCCTTCTAGAGCTGGATGGTGCCAGTTATCACCATTGTCCAGGCCGGAAAGTTAGCTGGAATTGACACTGGGGAAGGGCTAGCTCCCATTTCAAGGTTTGGTACACAGCTTGTGTCTGAATTCTTCTTTCTCTTTGCAGTGATGTCAACTTCCTGCGACTGCATCCAGGCTGTGGCTCTCATACAGTATTCAGGTGGCAAGTAAAACTCAGGTATCAAATGTTAAGAGTTGTTCTTAAGTTGTCCATCACTATAACAGAATTATTTTGCTAATATGCTCCAGCAACAGGCAGGCACAACAATCCCCCTACCAGCCTCTCATCCTTGCAACTTCTTCTTCCTTCTCTTTCTCCTCCTATATTTTTATTTTATACTGATAATTTTAATTTTATTTTTGTAAATCAATGTATTCTTTGTATTTTTATATTTAATGGTAATTTATTATGTACTATTGTATCTCAATGTATTTTATCATGTTGCAAGCCGCCCCGAGGTTTCGGCAAGGGACGGCATAGAAATGCTATAATAATAATAATAATAATAATAATAATAATAATAATAATAATAATAATATCAGCTTTTGATCTAGCATTTATTTATTTATTTTAAGCTTTTCCAGCTCATCTACCACTGACGTCTCAGAACAGATTACAATAAAAAGCAAATTAAAAAAAGCCAAACAAGCACAGCATTTGGCAATTCAAGATAATAAAATCCCAGTTAAAACCAACTAGACATTAAACTAATGGGAAAATGAAAAGGGGTTTGCCTGACGCTGAAAAGAATAAAGTGTTGGCACCAGGCAAACCTCTCTGGGGAGCGTATTCCACAGTCGGGGTGCCACCACAGAGAAGGCCCTCCTCCAGGTAGCCACCCTCCTGATCTCTTTCAAGGAGGTCTCCCTGAGCAGGACCTCTGCCTCAGGTCTCAAGTGATGGGAGGGCAGATAGGGAGGAAGGCACTCCTTCAGGTATCCAGGACCCAAGCCATTTAGGGCTTTGTAGGTCATCACCAGCACCTTAAATTGGGCCTGGACTTCAGTTGGCAGCCAGTGGAACTGATAGAGGACCAGCGTTATAGGTGAATACCTGCCGGTCCCCGTTAACATGTGTGGCTAGTCATCCAGGCTAAAGCCAATCAACTTCTGCAGTCTGGGTGCTCTTGCTTTTGCTTTTACTTTGGCCAGGGGACATTATCCCCCAGCTCCACTTTCCTTTTGTGTCATATGGATGCAAGTGTGTCTAAAGTATAAACTCAGTTATTCAGAAATGTAATTTTGGGGAACCCTGACATAGGACCTCTGTCAGAGAAGCATGTTTTATATTCCTGTGTAATGGAAGAAGCAGACTACTCCACAGATTCTCTCACATAACAGGCAGCAGCTATTTGTCCTGCTTGGTTGTATGCCTGCTGTTCTTTGATCTACCTATCTTACCTTTGCTGGGTTGCCTTGCAGGAATCTCATAGAGCCAGACATCTGCACGTACAACTTCACCACTGCCCGCATTGACATTTGCTTGAAGAAACGGCACAGCCAGCGCTGGGGAGGCCTGGAGGCTCCTGCCACACGAGGTCTGCACCTTGGCTTTTTGGGACTCATTTTGCTGGGGTTCCCTGGATGTGGCAAGGAGGTGGATAACGGTACAGCAGTCAGGCTGAGTGTAGGAACATCAAAACAGCAAGTCAGAAGGGGTCTCCCGGGCCTTCTAGTCTGACTCCTGGCTCCAGCTGGCTCTGCTCATGTAATACCCAGCATGTGGTTGTCCAGTCTTTCCTTGAACACCTTCACTGATGGTATCCCCACCTCCCATGGAAGCCTATACTAGGGGTCCTAACCTTCAGGAAGTACTTCCCAACATCCAACCTGAAACCCAGTTCCTTGAGCTTTGCCCCATGTACTAATGTTGAGAATTATTGTGGGGAGTAGAGGTGACCAGATTGCTGCTTGTATTACTTGATTTGCTCTAACTTGGGACTGAGGAAGAGGCTTGATATTTTGAATTCTACTAAGAGTAAGTGAAGTCCATTTTAGAGCAGACTCTTCAGCAGATTTCTTTATACCTCTGGTTAAACAAGGGAGAAGTGCTATTGTGCAGCAACAGTCCAAGCAGGGATGGTCGTGAACAGCATTCCCCCTGACTTCAGTGTACAAGGTGCTGCTAACCACAAGCCTACTTTTCCCCCTTTTTAAGGTGCAGTGGGTGGTGCAAAGGTTGCCATGCCAACAGGCCCTACCCCCTTGGATAAAAGCCAACCAGGAAGCAACCAGCTCCCACTTTCAACCAAAGAGGAGGCACGTGCGGGTGAGAAGGAGAAATCGCGAGCAGAAGACAGTGGCCTGGATGGCGTAGCTGCTCGGACAGTGTCTGAGCATGTGCCAGTGAAGCAAGAACCACTTGTGCCCTCGGTGAGAACTTACACCCATTGCTGAGATTCCCACTTCCTAGTCTCCTGGGCCCCCTGACATAGGCAAACTGGCAGGCAATCCATTGATGAAATGGAGTGGGTGTCTTATAGCTCTACATCTTGCTTCAGTGTACTGCTGCTATACCTCTGTGCTGATTTGGGTGCAATTGCTGTGGTTTCATTGTCTTCTTCTGGGTTAACTTTTGGTAACAGCCAGAGAGCCTCAGTTATTAGGCGGGAAGGGAGGGGAAGGGGAAGGGGGAGTAACGAAACATATTTATTTCATTTCACTTTTACGCCATTCCATAATCTGAGGGTTCTTAGAAGTTTGTTCTCTTCCAGCCCAAGCCAACATGCATGGTTCCTCCAATGACACACAGCCCTGTCAGCAGTGAAAGTGTGGAAGAGGAGGAGGAAGAGGAAGATAAGAAAGTGTGCCTACCAGGCTTCACAGGGCTGGTAAACCTGGGCAACACCTGCTTCATGAACAGTGTCATCCAGTCTCTCTCCAACACCCGAGAGTTGCGGGATTACTTTCATGGTAAGCAACATCTTGGGTCAAAAGGGGAGTCTCTGCACCTGCGCTGGTCTTGCTCCTCTGCTTTCCAGAGCGGTGACCATAAGAGCCCTCACAAATTCTCTTCTGTGTGCCTCCTAGATCGTTCGTTCGAGTCTGAAATAAACTACAGTAACCCACTGGGAACGGGGGGACGCCTGGCGATTGGCTTTGCTGTGCTTTTGCGGGCCCTGTGGAAAGGCACACACCATGCCTTCCAGCCTTCCAAACTGAAGGTAAGGCATCCTGGTGAAGTGTATGCAGGTTGAGAGGATGAGCTGCTTTTTGGCAGCATGAGGTCATACATGTTGCTACGCATAAATTTGTTCCTGGCTGAACAAGGGCTGGCTTTTAATGCTCTTTCACACTCTAGAGCATCCTTCCTCAACTTGATATCTTCTGGATGTGTCGAACTGCAACTCATGCTGGTCAGGAATGGTGGAAGTTGCAGGCCAGTGCATCTGGAGAGCACCAGTATAGGGGTGACTGCTCTGGTGAGACTGAGAAAGAACAGACGGGGATATGTAGATGGGCACAGGCGTCACAGAGGCTGGGTATCACCTGGCAGCAGGGAACAGGTTTTGCTCACACCCAATAGTTTGCAGGAGAGCTTCCCTTTTTTGGCTCGTGTGTATGGACAGATACCATAAATGGCTTGCAGAGTGATTCTGTTCAGGCCGCTGTGGGTGGTAACAGGAAAATGTACTGTCCCTGGTGCTAAGTGATTTGGCAAGCTTCCCTCAGGGAAAGTACACAGCACCCCCTGATGACAATGCACCCAAATGTTGTAATGATGGGCATTATATTAAGAATAAATGGGAATTAATAACGACAGTTTATGGAAACATGTTTGGTATCCTTTGGCTGGAGTGATTTGGATGCCTAGATGCTCACCCAGCACAACTGTTGCCTTACCTGAGTAGCAGGCCTCTGGGATTTGTCCAGCCTTGATCTAGGCTCTGCACACTTCTGAAGCCGCTAGTCCTGGTCATTCTTATTTTCTTTACAGCCCCAAAGTTTGTCCAAATACATTCACATCTTGCTTGGTGTTTCCACTCTTGCTAGTCTATGGGAGGAGGTGTAGTAGTCCTGTTGGCCATACCAAACAGATTATTGACTGTTGCTGCTCTTAATTCTCTTCATTTTTACTACTCTTATTTCTAAACTGCCAAACAGCCAAAGCTCTCTGCATGGGTTACAACAGCACATTAAAAACAGTATGATGCGAGTACCCTACTCTTTCTGCAGGCAATTGTGGCCAGCAAAGCCAGCCAGTTTACAGGCTACGCTCAACATGATGCCCAGGAATTCATGGCTTTCCTGCTGGATGGGCTCCATGAGGACCTGAATCGCATCCATATCAAGCCATACACAGAAACATTGGACTCGGATGGACGGCCAGATGAGGTGAGCTCTGTAGCATTAAGAGGGCCTGAGGGAAGCTAGGAGAAGCCTGGACTGATGAAGCATTTACTTACCCTTGCTGTTCCTCTTTCATTGCTAGGTTGTCGCAGAAGAGGCTTGGCAGCGGCACAAAATGAGGAACGATTCCTTCATTGTGGACCTGTTCCAGGGCCAATACAAATCCAAGCTAGTGTGCCCTGTGTGTTCAAAGGTAGGCTGCTGGCCCCCTGAATTCCCTGGCTACTGCTTAGCTCTGTGATCCTGAGGGGCCACATACGTGTATCTGTGGCTACATTTCTGCTGCTGGCTATGGGGGCGGGGGGATTAGTTTTGCCTGTGAAGTTAGTGTCAGTTCTCATTTTGTTGTAGTTCTGCATTTCCCTCATGCTCCTTTGCTCCACTGTCCCCGTCCAGGTTGTCTCCTTACTCTGGCCAGTATCCGTTAAGCCTAGAGCCCATCTCTGTTCCTCTGGATTTTGTCAATGCTTCCCGCGAATACCAAGTAACAAGCCCTTTGTTTGCAGGTATCCATTACATTTGATCCCTTCCTGTATTTGCCAGTCCCCCTACCCCAGAAGCAGAAAGTGCTGACAGTCTATTACTTTGCAAAGGAACCCCACAAGAAGCCTGTCAAGGTAAGGGGGCATGCCGCATGAGTGCATTCTTCATCTTGTGCTGCAAACACCTTAGACTGGCTTTCCTGTCCTGAATGGCTTTGAGTGTCAGAGTTCCCTGAATGGCAGGCGGTGCTGTTTTGCACTCATGTCCTGCTTGTGGCCTTTCCCTGACTTACCTCCCTCCATTTAGTGCCTAAGTGGCTCCTTTCATCAGCTGAGCTCAGACACTAGAAGTGAACCTAACAAAGAAGAATTTGCCCAGAGTAAGATAGAAGAGTGATGCTGCAGTACGAATTGAATTGCTACCATTGTCCATGTGTCCATTTTGCTTTTAATAACAATTACCATGCCACACCAGTGCCTGTTTTCTTTGTAGCTGGGAAAGATGGTAGTTTAAACATTCAAGATTGCCATAACAGTTAGCTTGGCCCTTATTCTGCTTAATTTGAGACAGGACTCGGCCTTTGATGTGTCTTTGACAGTATGTGGGGGAACAGTAAAGGACTTTTAGTGCTCAGGTGATGGCAAACATGTGGGTTTGGCTTTGACCTTTGATTTAGCTGCTGGGTCCTCCTGGTTTCAGTGTTTGGCTGTGGTGAAAAAGGCAAATTCCATGTTATGCATGGTGTGAAAAAGGCAAATAAGGAAATGTTGTTCTCCTTCTATCATAATACCAGAATTCAGTGGGTTTATTCTGTGAAGCTGATTGTTGGGGAATTCAGAACCATTCAAAAGAAGTACTTCTTCATGCAATCTCAAAAGATGAAGATCTGGAAAAAGATACAGAAAAATCCACCAAATTGACCAAGGGGCTGGAACAACTCCCCCACAAGGAAAGGGATACAATATTGGGGGTTATTTAGTTTTAGAAAAAGGCAAGTAAGGTTGGGTGACATGATTGAGATGCATGATATAATGGATAGTCTGGAGAAAATGAGTAGAGAGTTTTGCTTCCTCTGTTTTAGTGCTAGAAATCAGGGCCAGGACTTGAATTATAGGCAGTTCAGGACAGAAGGCCAGGACTTCTTCACACAATGTTCAGTCCAACTATGGAATCCACTGAAGGGGGCAGAAGGTTGTCACAGTCATTTCCAGCTTGTGCATTTCAGGCCATTGCTTGGATGCTGCATAAACTGAATGCAGGACTAGATCAACCCTTGGTGTGATCCAGCAGGGCTGTTCTTATGGCCGGACTGGCACAGAGGAAGGGCTGGGCTGAAACTCCTGAACAAGGAGCTTCTTCCCTGGTTTGAAGGAGACGGAGGAGTCCATCCTAATGGTTCAGTGGTAGAACACATACTTTCTGTGCAGAAGGTCCCAGGTTCAGGGACTAGACGACCCCTTAGTTTCTAATGAACTAAAGTGGAAGTGAAATATTTCTGTGCTAGATCTGTTGCTCTGTTAGTAGTCTTTCTGTTGATCCTGTTGCTAATACAAAATGCTGAAGTTTAACACTTATTTAAATGTGTGGCATCCCTCATGGTATGCACAGAACTTAGAACTGGGGAAGTCCCACTGAGATTAGAGAACGGTGTAAAGATAGCAGGGATTGACTGTGTAGTGTTACTGGGGTGGAGAACTCTGTGCCAGGAGGGGGAAGGGGTGACTTAGAGCACTCATAGGGAAGCACAGAGCCACAACTATGCAGTGCTGCAAACTGTCTGCATTTGACTGGGGCTCATGATTAACTTTTCTCATGGGTTTAAAAAAAAGCTTTGGTACCCCGGAATGCTAGCTGATAAACAGAGTCAGAGGATGGTGGCTGACCTTTTGTGCCATTCAGAGGTTTGGGGGGCGGGGGCGTTTGGAAGAAAAAGTAGGTGTTGATGGAGGAATTGGGCTAATCGCTGGCATGGCTGCACATGCGGATACCTCCACCTCAATATGTGCACTTTCCCCACAGTTTCTGGTGAGCATCAGCAAGGAGAACTCTACTGCCAAGGAGGTGCTAGACTCGGTGTCACATAGTGTGCGGGTGAATCCTGAGAACCTGCGCTTGGCCGAGGTGATGCAGGAATGCTGCTGAGTATTGTCTGTCTTGTTTTTATGTCTGAAAATAATAGGAATTGCTACCTGGTCTATGTGCATGCTCTTACACTCACAAGGATGCAGGTAGGTCCTAGAACCAAGACTAGACAGTTAAACTTACGCAGTTGTCCAGGAGAAAAGAAGAACATGTTCCACTGATGCCAGAGAGAATCCCAAATTGGCACCAGCCACAATTTGGGATGGGAAAGCTATCGCAGAAAACGCCTGTCCTCTCATCACCAGCCTCCAGAGCTTTCATTTCCTGTTAATGCATTGCTCTTTTCTGTGGTGCTAGTCTTAGTTGATCCACTGGGAGTCTCTAAATATGTGAGAGACTAAGTTAGCACCAAGGCTTTCTGCAAACAACATTCCACCAAGGTTTTTGTGCAAAACTCAGCTCTGCCGTTTCCCTCCACTCTCATTGGGTTCCCTAACCCATGGCATCCAAATTCTTCAAGTGCCAGCACAACGCCATCTGTTGCAAGTTGTGTCAGACAGTGCTACATCCTTTCCTACAAATACATTTCTTATGAAAAGAAAAATCAAACCACAGAGCAAATGTTGTTTTATTCAAAGACTTAATTTGTGCCAGGGCTTTTCAGGGTAAGCCCTGAAATCTTTTTATTGAGCCCAAGTCCATGAGTATATGACAAAAACTGCCTCCAAACATGTAGAAAGTGAATTTTCCTTGTTCCTGGGGCACCTGCAGTCTGTTCTTCTTATGCCTTTGATATGTTTACAGTGAAGAAACTGGACTCGTTTGTTTTAGATGTATGTTTTGCTTTTTTCTTATAACTCAAAGCGGCCTACATCATTCTTCTGCTCTCAATCATATCCCCACAACAACAACTTTGTGAGGTAGGTTGGGCTGAGAGTCTATGACTAGCCTAAAGTCACCCAGTTTTTCCCATAGCGAAACAGGGACCAGTCCCACACTCTTAACCACTACACTGCACTGGCTCTCCAACTGAATTAAATGAATCCTTTTGGCATAAGACTGTTTCCTAGCCCTGACTTTCAGCCCACTGCCCTTCTAAGAATGCTGCTTGCAACTCCTTCCCTTTCTAGGAAGCTTTCCATGCCCCTTCCTCACAGTCTAGGGCTGAACTCTAGGGCTGAATTTTTAATGTGAGAGCTAAATCCAATGATGCCATCCTTTTCCCTTCAAAAAAATGGATGAGGCCCCAGTTACCACCAACTTTCCAGCAGGCATTCTCTGTTTCAGTCCCTACATGGTTTCAGAAGATGCAATGAGCTACCCTATTCCAAATGTGTTCAGCAGACAACTGAGCGCACTGTGTGTAGTGAACACCTTACTTCTCATCTTGGAGGCCCTGTGGGTATCCCAGTAGACACCATAGAAACACTGAGGCATTTTCCCCCACCCCTGTTCCATGCCACAAGTGGATGCCATTTTGGCTTGCTGTGTGCTTTTTTTAATCTTCAAAAGCAATTTTGTGGCAGGAGAATGTGAAAAGTAGCTGTGAAGCCATCTTTCCTCAGTTTGTCAGCTATAGGCAGCTAGTACCTTGGAAAAGTTGCATGTGGTTGACCATGCTTTCTTGAAAAGAAACATCTTTGTATAGCAGCTTCTGCACAAAAAACAATTTCTTAATTTCTATTTCTTTAGTGCAGTTGCACAGCAGTGAGAATTTGAAGGCTAGGCTTAAGGATTTGTATGATGCCAAGGGGTAGCAGGTGCTTGCTCTGGCATTGCTTCTGCCAAGGCTCCAGAGCCATTTTCCCTGTTCTTGTGAGCGGTCCAAAGAAACTCAAAATTCAAGGGAATTTTTACTGTGATGGAGGGTGCCTCAGGGAATGTGCACCCCCTTCACAGCAAGAGCCTTTTCTTTCCCACTGCAGTTCCCATTTGGGTGCACATTTTGCAGTTGTCCTGGGTTTCCTAAGAGCTTAGAAAACTGCATGTCTCCACCTTTTATCAAGGGGAAAAGCAAAACTCTGGTCCCTCTTAGAAAGGGGGGGTTTGACTAGGAACTGTAATTTTGGACTGGAACATATATTTATGTGGGTCTCAGTGAAAAGCCCCCAGTTCTCACCAAAACCTGCTTTTTAAAGGAACCCGGATTTTTGACAGCAAGCTTGTTCTTATCTGATTTTCATCGTCTTTTCTTTTCCTCCCACTTTACTGGGATGCACAGTTTGCACTTTGTCCCAAGCCTCTAGGAACTTGAGTAAGTACAAAATCACCCTCCCCTTTTCTTGGGGGGAAAAGTTTTCATAGCTAGCCTAGAGGCACATGACACAATGCAAAATATGCAACCCAGTGGGAACTAAAGTTGAGAACAGAACAGCTGTCCTCCTTTGAGCTGTCAGGAGGAATCGGGCTGAGGTGGATTTGGAACTTTTGCTGGGCAAGATCCAGGGGGCGCTTGCTTTCAAGGGGCAGTGGTTGCCCTGCTCAAGCTTCAAATTTCCACAGTTGCACAGCTGTACTTTTTTTAAAGTGACTTGTTTGCACTTGATTATGCATGCATTTTTTTTAAGAGGGGTAAGTAGCCATGGGCAGCTTCTCAAGGGCCTGCTCACAGCTGCAGAGATGAGGATCACAACAAGCAGCTTGAGAGCCATCTTTGGCAAGCTCAGAAACAATGTTGTTTATAACTGAAAACAAGCCACAACAGGCCCAGAATGACCTAAGGAGTTGCTCTGCCAGCGGTTCCCAAGTGCTGATCCAGATACTTTCCATTACAGGGACAACTGTTAATATAGCTTCTCTTTTTTGTGGTTAGCTAACCATTTTAAAGCAATAAATGTAAGTAGCCACTGCAGCATTTTGTCACAATATTGTCTTTAAGTTAAGCATGTGTATTGCCTGAAAAGGGGAGGCAGAAGGGGGAGGGCATCTACCAAGCAGGATCTGACATTTCTCCTTTCTTTGGCTAGGTAATCAAGAACCGCTTCAGTCGCATATTCCTGCCCTCCCACTCCTTGGACACAGCCACCCCCAATGATCTTCTCTTGTGCTTTGAGGTGCTTTCTCCAGATCTGGCCAAGGAACGTGTGGTGGAGCTGCAGGTTCAACAGGTAGCTGCCCTCTATTGAGAGGTTAAGCCAGAAACTGAGCAGCCAAGATGGAGAGAAAAAGCTCTCTCTTAGAATGTGTAGACATGTTGGGTTCATTGAAGCATACTGTACCTTATGGGTGAGGGCTGTATTTCTCATCTGAGATAACTATCAGTGCTGTTACCAAACGGTCAATCTCTCCTCTCAGCGTTCTCAGGTGCCCAGTGTACCTATCACCGAATGTGCCGCCTGTCAGAAGAAGCAGCAGTCAGAGGAGGAGAAGCTAAAGCGCTGTACTCGGTGCTACCGCGTTGGATATTGCAATGTGTGAGTTGTCCTCTTTTTCCCAGAGCCAAAATCTGCTTTGTGATTCTCAGCTTAGCAAGGGGTGGGGAAAAATACATGCTGCTTCGGAATAAGAATGGTCTTCATATGTGTGTTTTTCAGAATGTGTCAAAGAACACACTGGTCCGACCACAAAACATTGTGTCGCCCTGAGAACATTGGCTTCCCCTTCCTCATCAGCGTGCCGGAGTCACGCCTCACCTATGCACGTCTGGCCCAGCTTCTGGAAGGGTATGCAAGGTAAGGCAGCCTGAGTAGTGCCCGTCCTCTTGGCCAGATGGCGAGTGGCTGCTGCCCGGTTCTACTCGTAAGGCCTAAGTGGCGAGGGAGTCCTGCCTGTGTGCCAGCAGCATATTCTCGGCCCAGACGTTGCTGGGCTGTGTCCTGAGTGGCTGCATCCTCTCTTTGCTCAGGTACTCGGTCAGTGTGTTCCAGCCTCCCTTCCAGGTGGGCAGGCTGTCACCTGAACAAGGCTTGCAGCCCCAGCCTCCTGAGAAACAAGAGCCACCTGCCAGGAGTAGCAGTGCCACCGCCGTGTCTGCTGCTGAGACCAGCATGGAGTCAGGAGATGGTGCCAGGGCCCCGCACCTGTTGCAGGAATCCCAGGCATCTCTCTTGGCTCCTGAGTTACAGGCGGAACTGGGGGATGCCAGCACTGTGAGAAGCAAGGTCTCCACAGCAAGAAGCTCAGGGCTAAGTTTGGATTCAGGCTTCTCTGAGCCTGCCTTGGATACACGGCCTGACAGCTGCGTGGAAAGGGACATGCCTTATGAGAAAGGCCCCAGGCCTGAAGGTAAGTGAGCCACCCTCCCCTCAGGGCCTTGATCCTAATTCCCACAGCTGATGACTTTGGGGTCCGAATTCCAAGGGGTTCCTGAGCATTTTTCAGTGTGGCTAGTGAGTAAAGAAAAGAAGGGACTGTCCTTGACTATCTCCTGCCTTCCCACAGCTGCCATCCCTGGTTACCAGCATCCAGGTGAGGGGCCAAGTTCTCATATCACCCAGTTCTACATCAACAAGATTGATGCAGCCAACAAAGAGCAGAAGCTGGAGGATAAAGGTGAGGGTCAGAATGTAAGAGTTTGGTGTTCTGAAAGCAGCAGCAGTTGAACATGTAGCTTAGCCTTCTCAGGAGGGAACTCCACTGACATAGGAAAAAGTTTCTTCCATAGTGATATGGATCAGATCCAGTCTGTCAAACAAATGCCCATAGAGGGCAGCTATACATGCTGCTGACTAGCTGTTATTGGGGCCGTATGTGGCTGGTGCTGCAGTCATAGCTGTGCGCTAACGTTTGCAATCTTTGAATTATGCAATCTGCACAGATTATTTGACGTCCTTCTGGCTATTATGGGAAAGGGATAAAGAGCTACACATAGTGCTGAAAACTTGATTACTAGAAATTCTGCTAAGGAATCTCCCCTCATGAACATTCACAGGCACTTCTTGTTCAGGGAGGGAAAGCACAGTATCAGGAGCCAGAATTCTGAATAACTCCCTTTCTTCTTGCATAGTTGACATTGCCCTGTGCTACACAGTTGCAGAAACAAATGAGAGAAGGCTGGTGTGTCCCTTTTGTGTCAGTCCGGATATCTGTGTCTCACGCTCCCCCTCCCGCACACATGCACTTCCATGGTCAACAGCCTTGGTGGCTTTCGCCTCCATTAACCTTGAGAACCACAGTTTGCCCTAGCAGAATCTTGGTTGGAGCTCCCTTTGACTGCTTTGCAGTGGAAAAATCTTCCTCTCTTGGTTCCAGTTTCCTGTAGGTAAAACGTCAGGTATCATCTGCCTCATAAGACCATTGTGAGTTATGAACAGGTTAAGGCTTGCAATTTGTCTCTCACCATGAGTGTAGTTGAAACTAGAGTTGGCAAGCCATACTTCTGGTTTTGCCCCATGCTTCCTATTCTGTCCTCCTCTTGTCTCCTGTGCCTCAGAAAAAGGAGGGGCACTGCCTCTAGTTGCTTTTTTCCTGAGTGCCCATGCCAGCCCAGTAGGAGAGGATGGGCAGCACCACCTATAAACATCTGTGCCTTTCAGGAGATGCTCCACTGGACCTGACGGATGACTGCTCTCTGGCCCTGGTTTGGAAGAATAATGAGAGGATGAAGGAGTTTGTGCTAGTTGAGTCTAAAGAACTGGAGTGCATGGAGGATCCAGGATCTGCAAGTGAGGCAGCCAGGGCAGGACACTTCACCCTGGAACAGTGCCTCAACCTCTTCACCAAGCCAGAGGTGTTGGCCCCAGAGGAGGCATGGTATGAAGGAGACATGGGGAGCTTTCTTTGTGAGCTGGGAATCCCATCTATGGCATCTGCAAGTGCACTCTCAGAATTTCAAATGGCTCTAAATGCCAAGCCTCCACAGGCATTCAGCAGCTGAAGGTTCTAACCTGTTACCAGAGGCGGGTCCACACGGAGCATGTTAGTAGAAGTTCAGTGGAGATGTGACTGAGGCATAGTCCATCAGGCCAGGCTAGAGAAAAGGTCCTCCTACCATTTAGTTTACTTTACTTTAGATCAGATCAGAGAGCCAGTGTGGTGTGGTGGTTAAGAGCATGGGACTGGGACTCAGACGACCTGGGTTCTAGTCCCCGCTCAGTCATGGGGCCAGCTGGGTGACTTTGGGCCAGTCACAGACTCTCAGCCCAGCCTACCTCACAGGGTTGTTGTGGGGATAAGATGGAGGAGGAGAATGATGTAAGCTGCCTTGAGCCCTTTGTAGGAAAAAGGGCAGGATATAAATTGATATATATAAATACATATATAATGGGTCCTCAAACTACGGCCCGGGGGCCGGATCCGGCTCACCATGCCCATTTGGGTGCACGCACGCCACTGCCCACCTTGCCCCACACACGGGAGGCAGCAGTGTGCTCGCTCAGAGAAAACGATCTCCAATCGAGCAAGCCGCTGCCTTGTGTGCCCGCGTGCCCTGCCCCCACCTCAGCGCGTGTGCCTGCACACACTGCCCCTGCCCCACCCCCTCACCGGCCCGTGCATGCGACCGAGCATCACCTTTCCGGCTTGCGCCCAGCACTGGCAGCTTTCAACTGGCCCCCTGGTGAAAAAGTTTGAGGACCCCTGGTTTAGATGCTTGGTCACATCTCAGCTGGACCTACTATTAACATGCTCTGTGTAGAGCTGCCTCTGATAACGGGGATGCCCAAGCTGTGAACCTGGTCCTCCAGGGGAAATGCAACCCCATCATTCCCTCACTTTAGCCCCCTTTGCTTCTCTGCCCCCTTCTGACCAAGGAGTGAATGGAATCTGGGTGGCTTTGCTCCATGATGGACAAGGTGTCTGATGGAGGAGCACTTTTCCATCCAATGCTTTGTTGCATTTGGGTGTCCTTCCACTCCGTACCTTGGTGTATCTTGGTATCTATGCCTTGCCTCGTTGGGGAGGATGCAGGACAGGCAAAATTCTTAGCACACTTCTCCCTCTATCAGTTTTGGAGGGTTTGACTCACTAATTAAGGAAAGACCCTACTATTATTCCCATTAGTGAGTGAACATAACAGTGAGGCCCTCCCAACTAACTTCTGAGTGATGGGCAATTGAGGAGGGAAGTCTAATTCTCTGTGGGCCAGAAGGGGAACTTGAGCAGATCAGAGTTTTCCCATTTCTGCTTGGAAACTTCAAAAAATATTTAAAAGCACAGGTTTTGTAATCAGCCTCAGAATTTAACATCCCATGCAGCATATTTTGGTCAAAAACTCTTTCTAAAGCCTTTGGTTTCAGAAACCTAAATAACAGAGTTTTGCTACTCCTTATTTTGTGCAATAGGACAGAGGGTAGCAAAGATTAGCCTCTTGGACTTGGCAGCAGGAGACATTAACAGACCCTCTCTATCATCCCACTACCTTCTCCATAGGTATTGCCCTAAGTGCAAGCAGCACCGTGAGGCATCTAAGCAGCTGATGTTGTGGCGCCTGCCCAACGTGCTCATCATACAGCTCAAGCGCTTTTCCTTCCGCAGTTTTATTTGGAGGGACAAGATCAGCGATATTGTGGATTTTCCCGTCAGGTGAGGACTTTGTCCCTGCTTACCTTGCCCCTTGAACGCAGCAACATCCTCCTGGCCTGGATGAGATGCAGTGCTTGGCCCCCTCCTAGCATGAGGACTGTCTAGCTTGGAATGTGCTCAGGTTGTGAGGTCATCTGGTAAACTAGTGGACCAGAGGCCATTTTCACTCCCTAGAACTCACTCTGGTGGGTGCCAAAAGTGGGAGGAGATTAAAACAAAATGGCATCCGGAGCAGTTGCATAATCCAAAGGGATTTGAACTAGATTGCAGAAAAGTTATTTTTGACACTGTAGGAGCTCTGTGTGCCATTATGTTTGCAAAAAGGGTGGGCGTCTCTTGAATTTGGGGGGGGGGCTGCATGTTTCCTACCCTTTCACCTTCAGTCTTGATCTGTGATCTATATTATATAGCAGGTTATATGCTAGGGGAGTCAATTTAATTGTGTCTTCCCTCGTCTTATTTTGAAGGGAGCATGACACTCTTTTAGGTTGAGGTAAAAGGAACTATTTCAGAAGGAAAGGAAAAACAGGTGCCTTTGATAAGCTAAGGCTGCCTGCATCATAGCATCTATATTCACAAGCATCGACTTAATCAGACCCATGAGATGGTTGAATGTAGATCCATAGTTCCTTCATCACCTTTTGTTACCCTTCACCTGGTGTGAAGTACTGTAAGCTTAATCACAGTGAGCAAAACTTTTTTGCCGCAACAAATTCTGAATAGCTATTCTTCTGAAAACTGCCCATTTTGTTCAAAATGACCTATGTTCAGGGTTCAAACACATCCCCTAAATTTTCCTCCTTCGTTCATTAGTTTGAGATTTTTTTGGATGTGGAACAGATTCTTTTGCTTCTGTTATCAAAGCAAAATAACAAGGGTGATTCTGTTTGTTTAAACTGTTGGACTGCCTTTAAGTGTGAAACAGAGCTCAAGATGGTATACCAGATAAGAACCACACAAAAGCAGTTACATAAAATTTAGTGAATACATATTCATTTAGGCAGATCCTAATCTGAAACCCAGAGATTCCCCATCCAGCTCATGGCAGCTTGGACTCCCTCATGGGTACCTTTCAAAGCTTTGACCCTGGAGGCTTGTGGAAAAGGTGTAGAAGGAATCTCCACTGTTATTTCCGATAATAAGCTAAGAGATAACAGCAGGAATATCTCCTTAATTAAAATACTGGTCACTCACTTTTTTACTTGGGAGCTCAGGTGTCATACTAAGTATCTCCCTAGTTGAGGGGTTCAGTGTGGCCATTTCTCCTTGACATCATCTAGTCCACAGAGAGCTGTGTGGGAGGTCATCTTGCCCCAACCCAAAAAGTAGATGCCCACCCCATGCTACCAATTCAAATTCAATAAAACCAGCAGCCCAAGAATGTATGGAAATGCCAGCAAGAACAGGTGGGTCTTGAGAACTTTTCTGAAGTCCCTGTGAAAGAAGGGCCTGAAAAACCCCACTGAAAACTAATTCCAGGACTATAGAGCCACCACAGGCCTTGTGTACCTTGGAGCACACCAACAGCCAAAAGGTATAAATAGGGACATAAGGAAGTTACCTTGGGCCTCTTACTCAGGATAGATCCTTTCAACTGGTGGTGTTAGGGGCTGGCCATGGAGCCTTCTGCCTGCAAAGCACTCACTCAACCCTCTCACTACTCCAGTTTGGGTAAGACTCTTGCCTCCCCCTGAACCATTGAGATAGCGTGAGGAATTGAATATGGATGATTTCCAGGCAAGCAAATCTTAGACGGCAAACTGGGCTACCTCTGAAAAAAGAAATGATGGGCTTGAGATATGCAACTAACTAACTTCTTCTGTCTGTTCTCAGGAACTTGGACCTGAGCAAGTTCTGCATTGGTCAGAAGGATGAGCAGCAGGTGCCCATGTATGATCTGTATGCAGTTATTAATCACTATGGGGGCATGATTGGTGGGCACTATACAGCTTATGCCCGACTTCCCAGTGACAAGAACAGCCAGCGTAGTGATGTGGGTGAGTAAGAGGAGTTACTGGGCGAAAGAATGACCATTGACAAGCCAACCAGGTGCCCCTCATCCATGTATAGGCTTTTGGGAGATACACAAGCAGCATAGACTGAGACACTCAGGATCGCTCCTTAGCAGCAGAAATACCAGGAAATCCATCTAGGAAAGAATGGATCATTTTCTCTAGTCAGGGCTGAAGACATAGTGTCTTTGGAGGACTAAAGCCTACTTCAAATGATAGCAGACTGCCAGCACATCTGACTGAGAAAAGAGGAGGACTATTCCCATCTTTTACATTCCCAGCCCGGCAACCCTGCTTTGGCCTTGTGAGAATCCTTACAGGGAATTAAAACTGGAGACTGGGCCTTCCTGTCTTTGAATATGCCCCTGGGATGCCCAAACCTTGCCCAGGATCTTGGCCTCAGTCCTTCACTGGGACATTGCATGTTCATCCACAGAACTCAGGGTAGAGTCTTGCCATCTGTGACTGTGGCACCGTGCTTACCCATCGTGATCCACAGGTCAGGGCTGGGACTGGCACTTCTCGTTGGCCCTACTTTGATTGGAGTCATCACTGAAAAGCCTGTGTCACAGCTTGGACATCCTTTCCTGTACAAGGTCCTTGAGCAGCATTGGCCAACCAATGGTGAGACCAGTTATCTGGAACCAATTTAGTCAGGGATCAAGCTGGATCTTGGCATGCAAACAGCTTTGGTCATCCTGTATCATGACCTTCACCCAGAGAGAGATGGGGCGTGGCCCTGCTGATACTCCTAGATCTCTCACTGGCTTTCAGTAATATTAACCATGGTATCTGGGGCAGCCCTCAGAACTGAGAGTGACAGGTGGTTGCACTCCTGCCTGGATGGCCAGCACCAGAAGGTGGTGCTTGGGCAATATCGCTTAGCCCTGTGGACTCTTGCATGGGGTTCTTCAGTGGCTGGTTGGGCCCAGTGGCTCTCTGCCCCGTCCCACTCTACTATTCTATGATCCCCCATGCCATTGAGCATTGATGTGAAACCTCTCGGTGGGGCTGTCTGGAATTTTGGCATTCATTGCCATGAGTGTGCAGAGGCCGCACAGCTCTACTTTTCATCCTCATCTGGTGAGGGGCGGGGTGTGCTCCACCAGTGTCTGCTTGTGACAATGGATTAGATGAGGGTTAATAAACTGAAGATCAATCCAGACAAAACTGAAATGCTCTTAGTAGGTGGTTCCTCTGAGTGGCTGGAGGGCGTGTGCCCTGTTCTGGTTGTGGTTGCACTTACGTTGAAGGAGCAAGTTCATGGCATGAGGAGCCTCTGGAGTCCTCTTTGTCCCCTGAGGCCCAGGCAGCTTCTGCGGCACAGAGCGCCTTCCACCAGCTTCGTGCCCTGCCTGGATAGGAGTAGCCTAGTTTCAGTAGTCTATGCTTTTGCAAACTCTGAATTAGGTTATTGCAGTGCAGTATATGCAGGACTTCTCTTTAAGATTGTTCAGAAGCTGCAGCTTGAAACTGCAAGACATGCAAGCTGATCTAATGACCAGGAGGTTCAAACATACAGGATCATTTCTGCCCCACTTGCACTGGCTGCCTGTATGTTTCCAAGCCCAATTTGAAGTACCAGTGTTAACCTATAAAGCCTTGTGCAGCTTGATACTGCAGTGCCCGAATGCCCCTTTCCAAGTGCAGTCTGCCTGGTCATTACAATCAGGACCTGAGGCCTTCCTCCAGGTGCCATCCTGAGGGAGGCTCAGAGGGCAGCAACAAGGGGGAGAGCATTTCAGTAGCCCTTGAAGGTGGAGTAATCTCCCTGCAGAGGCCCATCTGTTGCCCACTTGTCCTTCTGTAGCCTGTTAAGACAGCCTTCTGTGCAAAAGATTTAAAGACACCTAAGGATATTAAAGGCATGATGGGTCTGCCAAGTTTTTGTATCAAATGTTGCTTTAGCTATTATACAGAATTATACACAGTTTGTATGCTGAGAAGTTTTTACAGCCCTGTTCTAGGAGCTGTTGTAAACTGTATAGAGAGCTTTGGTGATTAGGTAGAATATAAATTAAGTAATCTGCAGGGGCAATTGCTTCTGGCGGACTTTTTCCCCAGTGGGTTGTACCTACTGGTGGTGTCTTGCCTAGACTGGCTGTCAGCAAGGGTCCCCAAAATACCCAGCAGCAGCTTTTGGCTGTTCTGCATCTTCTGGTTCCCAAAGGGAACTTCCTTGCTCCTTTTTTATGTTCCTTGTAGACTGAGTGTAGAAAAACAGAAGGCAATAGCAGGGACATCGCTGGAAAGAACAGCTACTTGGCTGAGCTTAGCCAGGGGCCTGCTGTTTGGAGCCAGGCAGAGGAGAAACTGGGAGGTGGCTCTTTCTCACATAAGATACCCTGCTATGTTGTTGGCAAGCAAGAGGAACAACACATGCAAGAATCCCCTTCTGTATCGTAGGAAAAATGCTTGCATCTCACAGCAGCCTGGGAACAACTGTTAATGCCCTTTGAAGAAAGGAGGGCTGCTCTCCCTGCCTTATGGTGGGCGTGAGCTTGATCCAGTGATCACCTCCACTCCAGCCAAGAGCAGCTTGACCCCAGGGTGAGAGTGAGAGATGGTGGTGGTTTTTTCCTCAGCCCCCAGACTCAGGTTCCCTGTCTTTACACTGCAGGGTTAGGATCAGGAATGCTTTTTAAGACTAGAGTTATCTTAGACTCGGTGACTAGCATTGGAGATGGGCTGCATTCACACTGTGACAGGGATCCCGTCCTGCCAGCTTCATCATTCACTGTTAATTCTTAATTGGTCTCTCAGGTAGGAACATGAAAAGTGAGGTCAGGGTGTCCTCATAGAAACTTTGCCTACTCTTCAGTGGCCGCTCGGTCTTTTGCCACTGCCATGGTAATGGGGTGATGGACTGAGGGTCAGGAGGTCTGAATCCTCACCATGGGAGTGAGGGGCAGTCGCTGATTTCCAGTGTAGCCTACCTTACAGGGTTGCTGTGAGGATAAAATGGAGAAATGGCAGCCCAAGTAAGATTCTGAGTTTCTTGCAAGAAGCAAAAAAGGTGGGATTTAAGTATAATAAATAAGTAAAAATAAAATGGAAGCAGCGCCCATGAGTTCAGATCTGCAAGCAAGGTGAGGCTGTGGTTTACAGGCTAGGTTTGGGTGAACTTGCCAAGCAGGGGAGGTGTAGGTCTTTCTCCAAGCCTGAGGGGTTTGGAACAGGAGATACAGAGAGGGGACTTGGATTGCTCCTTTACATAGAAGGAAGAAGCAAGAGCAAATGAATGGTACAAAGGCAGTCATGCCTCTGCTCAGGGTTGAAGAGAGGTCTCGGCTTTGTGAGAGTCTGTCTCCACTGACTCCTTTCCTCCTTCCCTTACACAGGTTGGCGACTCTTTGATGATAGCACCGTCACCACAGTGGATGAAAGCCAGGTGGTGACACGATATGCTTACGTGCTCTTCTACCGCCGACGAAACTCTCCTGTAGAGAGACCCCCTCGAGGGCCACCTCACCCCTCAGACCCTCGGGCTGACTTGGCCCCATCTGCTGAGGCAGCAGGCAATCAGGTGAGCGTTTCCAAGGGAAGCATGTCTGCTCCCACGACTGCTGGTGTTAGTTGGGAGCCTGCTCGGCCTTACTGCTGAGAGCAGAGAAGGGTCTGCTGGTTCCCACTTGTCACTCGGGCTCGGTTAATGATGAGGTGTGGGTGCTGTTGGGTGTGTGTTACTGGACTAGTAGTTGCATCCTAGGAAGGTGCAAGTCTTAAATGCTCTTGGAAAAAAACCTGAGGGAGGGAAAGAGAGAGTGCAACTCTTCTTAGGAGTCGGGAGGCTGCACTGGCTCAGAGGATCCTGGGGAAGGGGGGAGTTGCTTGGGACAAGGGTGGAAGATGACTGTCAGCTGTCCTGAGTGACAACAGCAGACCCTATGCAAACTGAGCTGATGAGACAGGGATGCCCTTGACTGTACACAGAATAATGGAAAGTGTTGGTGTGGGGGTAAGCCATCAGCCATGGTTGCCTGTGTCGATGGTCCTGGCTGTCGGACTGGACCGTATGTGCTCAGTGCTTCTGTTGTGTTTTAGGAGCCTGCCTGCCTGCCTGCCTTCTCCTTCCGCCTTCCCCAGGCATAGTCCATAAGGCAGGGATGGGGCAGAGAGCAGGCCAGCACTGCTCTTGGGTGTGCTGCCAGCAATCCTGCCCTAGTCGAGGAGGAGAGCCTCCCTGATGCGCGTGTGGAGGCAGGGCTGGCACACCCCCGGATATGCTGCCGTGTGCTGTGGTGGCTCCCTGGGAATAGGGTGAGGCAGTGCTGCATGCAAGTCTCTGCTGTGGGACGGGCTGCCTTGTTTCTGTCCTGTCTGTGCCGCCTGTAGTTCACTGAAGCTGGGCGGTCTGTTTTGCACCTGGCATCTTGCAGTCGTTTGCAAGGCATTGATGCCCAGCAAGTGAAAGACCAGCAGGGGCCACATACCCTAGGGAGGAGGTGAAGGAGCAGACACAGATCTGTTCAAAGAAGTTGCCAGAGAGAGAGAGGCCTGAATGTTTAAACTGAGATGCCGGTCACACCTGTGGACACTAGCAGCTGGCCTCTGTGGTGAACTGGCTCTCGCACCAGCTCCATCATCGCCATTGCCTGCTACTTTAGACTGTTGGGAGCTCAGGAAGCAGCAGCCCTCCTACCCAAAGATCCCAGGGGATGGAGTGGGGAAGATGTTATGGATTCCACCTGCTTTTAAGACTCCTTGAAAACTACTGGCATACAGGTCTGAATGGTCCTCCTGCACATTAAAAAAAAAAAAAACTGGTCTGTGACTGGTTACTCGCGACTAACTCCTTCTGTGCACCTGTCTATTTAAAAAAAGAAAGGAAAGCGCTGTGTTGAGCTGTCATCTCTGAATGTTCCTCATGGTTTTTTCCACTTGCTAAAGCTGAGCTATTTGATTAGCTGTCATCCTTACAAAAGATCCTCATGTCCTCACCTGCAAACCCTTGGATGTGACTGGCTGTCATCAAATCCTCATGTTCTCACCAACAAGGTTCAACTGTGATTGGCTGTTTATGAGTGATCCTCATGTTCTCGCCCATTGTGACTGGTTGGTCAACTGAATGACCTTCATGTATTCAAGAAAGCATGGGCTGTGATTATTTGGGAACTGGGTCTGTTAAAAGGATTACAGTGGCATTGATACTTGCAGACTGGGAAAACTCGCATCAAGCTAGCCAGCACGGATGCCTCACTCTGACAAGCGTCTGTCGCCTTGTGGCTTGCCTTGCTCACTCTGCCCCTGGGAGGCGTCCCGAATCTGAATCTGGCCTACTGCTGGAGCCATAGCAAAGCAGGGGGGAATCCATGGGCTGTGACAGAGAGCTCAGCTGTGGAAAAATGGTGTGCAGGGCAGGCCGTTCTGGGAAGGGGCAGAGCATGGGTGATTGAGGGATTTGGCACTGTGTTCTCCTCGAGTGCTGACGCAGGTTTCCACATCGCAGGCTTCTCTGCTCTGGCAGGAAATGGAGGCTGAAGAAGAAGCTGCCCAGAGGCTGATGGGGAGCCCTTGGAACTCTTGCAGCCGAAGACCAAAGACCCTCACCTTAGACTGTCCTGATGAAGGCCGTGTCCGCTACTTTGTCCTGGGCACCATGGCAGCCATTGTGGCCCTCTTCCTGAATGTCTTCTATCCACTCATCTATCAGACCCGCTGGAGGTAGCAGCTGCAGCAGAGCTCTGGGAGGGAGGCAGCCAGCTTACTGCAGCCTTGGATCTCCTCCATTGTGTCTTGGTGGTGAGGAGCTGCTATGCTCCTGGCCAGGTAGATGCAAGAAGAAGAGCTCATGCCAGTGCCTCCCCACAGAGAATATGTCACGTGTCAGCACTTCGCTCTTACATTTATGTGGCCGCCTGGATTTGCAACTAGGAAGGATCTTTTATGACTCAACAACCCAAGAAGCCTCATTTGGACAAACCTTTCCTTAAATGACTTTAGTTCACGTCAGCCCATATGAGCCTTGAGGTTCAGTCAAATGTATGTACCTCAAGCAAAGACGGCAGATCTGCAGATATCTGTGTCTATAATTGGATGGCTATGTTTGCCTTGGCCACTCTCTGCCTTGGGATTGCTCTCCAAATTGGGTTGGCTGCTCCTTCCCCAGTGCCTAATATTTGACGGTTGAACCAACTTACCCCAGCTGAGCAATACACAGTACTTAGCAAGTGGAGAAAAGAGCATATTTTTGAATGGACGTTTGTTCCCTTTTGTTGGTGGAGGGAACATCCACTGCTATCCTCTGAACATTGCTGGATTACATTCTCTCGCCATGGGGCAGCCAGGTGTACCTTCTTGTCCCTCTCTTTTTTAAAAGCAGCATTGTTATGTGTAGATCCATGCAGGAATCTACATTTGAGAGTAGAGTGCAAGGGAAAAGCTTTTCTTATCATTTCCCCCTTAAACCAGGTCTGCATTATGCTCAACACGATTTAGCACCAGGCCCCAGCTAAACAGCACATACGATTTGTCATTTGTAACTCTGCTCTTGTATGCGTCTCTATGAATGTGCTTGCACAGTTATGTAAAAGCCTATTTCTTTGCACATGCAAGGTAGCAGAACTGTTTTTTGGACTCCAGTTGTGCAGCCTCGTATTCTTTTAATCTGGCACTTCAAGCTGTGGCTTCTTATATGTGGTGCAGGATTCCTCTTAAGCATCAGGACCACAGATTTAAGCCTAAATGTCCTGGCCTAAGCCCCTGGCTGTGGCCAGAAAAGCAAGAGTGATCGCAAGAGTTTGAGGTCCTAAAGAGGAATTTAATGTCTTTGCAACATCCTTCCATGGATTTAGGTATAATTGCTGTTTGTTCATATTAGTCATCAGCTATAAAATCTAAGTTTGTGCACATTCTTTTCAGCAGTGTCAGAGAAGTTTCTGCTTTTTTGTGAGAGGGGCATGGCCAGTGCCAAGAGTCAGGAGAACGGATACTTGTTGCTGGTATCCCTGCTGTGCCCCAGGAAATGGGCAGTCGCTAGCCATAGCAGCACCAAAGAACATAACTTGAGCCATGCACCATTCTGGTGGTGGCATTTGTAAGTTATTTTCTGCCAGCTTGGTGGATAAAGGTGTTGCATTGTGCTGCAAAATGCTTTCATTGTATTTATTTATTGTATTTAATAAAGTTAAGCTGTTCTACAGAAATACAGCCTCTTTTCTTTTCTTCACCTTGCTGCTTCACTATTCAGCTTCTTTCTAAATTTAGCAAAAGGATTGGATCAGTCCACCCCACATATATCTTCCTGCTGACTCCCAACCCCATCTAGTCATAGCTGCTACTCATTACAGGAGATTAAGAAATTGGCTGAGGTGTTCATTGTATAGTAACAAATAGTACTAAAGAGGAAGGTGGTACTTTAGGTGGAAGAGAGCCCAGGGCTGGGACAGAATTCTGTAGTTTCTTTGATTTTCTGCAAGCTTAAAATTTGCTGTTTATTGCAAATATATAATCTGAACATTCTAGCACTGATTTCAAACAGGTGTAGGCAGTCTGGCCAGGACTGCATTTAGCCCTTAGTCTAATTTCTTGCTGGTTAGGGTAATGCCCACAGGGAAAGGAAGGCAGAAAGAAAAATGCATGTAGGGAGCCGAGGAAGAGGTAGCCTTGCAAGAGCGATCTGCCTTCCCCTGAGCAGCTTGCTTTGTGCTTGAGTAGGAGGCAGAAGGGCTGGGACAGAAGAGAGAGAAGGGGTGGCTGTGCCTCGTCCCGTCCCGTCCCATCCCACTGCTGGCATGCTGCCTCTGACAGTAACCACGAGGGAATGTAGCCCTTGACAGGAAAAAGTTTCCCCAGCCCCAGTTTGAGTGAGAAATAAGGTCTTTTATCTGGATAGCTGCAAAAGGAACGTCTGAATGTGTGTGCTGTTGTCTAGTGGTGTCTGTAAAGCCAGACAGGAGACACGGGGGGTTCTAATCAATAGGTAAAATTTCATACTTCCATAACGCTTTGTTCATCATCATCATCAACAGAAGCAGAATACAATTATGTGAAAAAGTAGCTATGCCCTAATAAGGAAGTATAGGTAGGTTTGAGCCAATTTGCATAATGTATTGAGGTTCCAAAATTCAGTTTTCCTTGGTGTACAAATTAGGTTACTTTGGCATAAAATTCTGAAAAGCAGATTATTTAGTGCAGAGAATACACAACTCTAGCCTGATAGTTCATTATTCAGGACAGGACAGGACAGAAGAGATCTATGAGAACCATCGCAATCTGAAATTGAAAGGTATTTCACATACCAGTTTATCTTTTTTAAGTAAGCAGCCATCCCATCCTGTTCAGTACCTCTGGTGTCTGTCTACTTATCAAAAGCCATAATTATTTATGCCACAGGAATTACTTGTTACCAAGAGCATTTATGACAATCCAAAGGTATAAAAATACTACGGTCTAGTTTTATATCTTGAAATGTTACGTAAGTATTTTAGATTGGATTCCTTCTTGGACGGCAGGGACCTGGATATGTTTTTGTATGTGCGCCTCTGCTTTCTATGGCTGCTCTCTAATACTCTGTTCTCTTTGCAGGGAATCAGCTCCCCACCTTTTGGAACCAGCCTGTCCCCTGAAGTTGCCCCTGTGCTGGCACCAGAGGGGGTAGCGGAGCACCCCACTCCATCCTACAGCAACATGGAGGAAGTTGACTAAGGCATTCTGCACTGGGGGTGGGGTGGGAGGTTTGTACATAGGAAGGCTTTGTTTTGTGGCTTCCCCCTACCGCACCCTGGCTGGCGTCCTCCCCCAGTGGGGAGGAGGAGGAGGAGCTGCTGTGACCTTTTCTTCAGCACACAAGCACTTTCTGCTCCACCCCTTCCTCCTCCCCTGCAAGCTGGAAAGGTTCCTTTTATGTCCCCTGCTAGAAGCGGCTCTGTGCCAGCGCGCAGGGATAAACCCACTGAGCCCCCAGTGCAATCCCTGCATCTCCTGCCCCAAAGGCTCTGGTGAGGCCGCCTTGCACAGAGGCAGGTGAACTGTGGCAAGCCCTGCTCTTCTCTTGCATACCCAGCCTGTCCTGTGTGGGGGGTGGGGGAGGTCATTGGTGTCTGCCCCTAAGGGGCCTTCTCCCAATCTGCCATACCATGGGTGCCTGCTTCACAGTTTTCCACAGTCCCTCTTTACCTATCCTTCCACTTTCCAAGGCCTGATCCTACTTCTTTTCCCAAGCTCAGGACACCATCTTGGCTGTAAAATGGCCCTTCATGAGGGGCATGTGCCTCTCCCTGGGGTTTTCCTTTGTCCCTTCACCAGCATTACTTTGGCAGTGAGGAGAAGTTTGTGGTTGGCAGCAGCTCTTACTTTCTCATCCTACACCGAAGACATGGAGCTATGGCTTGCCCTCCTACTTGGCTGCCTTCCCCAAGTCATTTGGATTTCTTGGCCCCTCGTCACTTCCTTGGGATGGGAAGCCACTGCCATCACCACCTCTATTTAAATCTCTGGCTTTCCATCCCCGTTACCCATGCTCGGAATTGCTGTAACCAAATGAGGCTGTTCTGGGCCCACTCCCAGGAAGCCTCAGTCTTGCTCTCTTTGTATAAAGTTGGTGTTTGTCTTGGATCCTGAGTTATTAAATTCTACTCAGCGCTGCTTCTTCCAGTGTCTGTTTGCTTTCTGTCTGCTGCCATGCCATCCTGGTATTGACTTCAAGCCTGAACACCGTTGAGATGATGAAATGGGAACCCAAATTAGTAGCCTCATTCTTACTGTCCCCTCAGAAATGCATTCTGAGAGGGAAGGGTCTGGTGGCTTTCTGTATGAAATAACAGTTATGCTACTTGAGCTCTTGGTGTAGAAAAGGGCTATAAACCATGAGCTTGCAGGGTATTTTGGAGAGCTTTCTTATAAAAATCACCATAAGTTGGAGATGACATTCTTCCTTGTTGTGTGTGAACTTGCTAATGTGAATTGAATTTGTCCCCATTGTTCCACATATATTTATAATGATTGAACATACTGATATATCAGAAATTTACACTACACAGTATTGAGGATAATTTGCAGCACCTTAAAAGCCAACATATTTATTATGGAATAAGCTTTTTTTACACTAGAGCTCAAAATGCAGGAGTATTATATAGTGCTTGATCATTGACTGGGAAACTTACCTTTTCCCTGTGATTAGCAGGAGGAGTAAGTAACAATGCATACTTCTTACCTTCGCTTGGTATATAATTTAGGCTAGCTTATCACACTGTATAATTGTCTATTCTGCAACAGAGGTATCTCTCCCATGTTTGTTAGCAAGATGATAGTTTCTGTGTGCCAATGTTCTTGTGCCAAACAAGGAAGTTATGTCTGGGTTTTAGGACAAAATGCACACAACCGAGGGGACCTACGAGTACATTGTTTCTGTGCATGCTGCTGGCCTCTGCACAGGTTCTTTTCATAAGTGGATTTCCCCCTAACCTCCGGCCAAGGAGATTCAAGAAGAAAAAGAACCCTTGGGGTAGGAGAGAGAGTAAGGTACGCTTTGGCAAGGGGTAGGGGTTAGCCTCAGTCCCACTTTGAAGACAGATTGGCCTTCCACCATCACAACTGATTGTTGCCACACTTGTCCATGCCCTAGTAACTTCCTGGTCAGGCTGCAACATCTTGCTCTGTGTGAGGCTTCCCTTGAAGATTGTCTGAAGAGTAGCTGCTGCAGAATCAGCAGCCAGAGGGTTAATGGGTGTCTCTGTAGGGGATCATATTGCACCATTTGCACTGTCTGCCTGCCAGTTGTAATTCAAGCTCATGGAGTGGGTTCTAAGTGGTTCAGAACCCAAAAACCTGAAGAAACGCCTCTCCCTATAATCCAGGATCTGGCCAGCTGGGGCATTCTGAAGTTGCCCTATGTGGCAGAGTTTTTTAGAACGATCCATGATCCATCAGGGGGTCCTTTCACCCTGGTAGCAGAATTCTCTCCCCTACGAGTTCCAGTTAGCTCCGACATTGTATCTCTCTTTGGGAAAAGAAGGCCACTCTTTTTCTGTGGGTTTTTGGGTGATTGCTCTTGTCAGTACCTGTTTTCAATTGTATTTGTTACAGTGACCCCTCCCCATGATCACATATGACAGGAGGGATATCAGTTTGGATAAATCAATAGATACTGAGTGTGTGCAAAAGAGCACTTTCCAGAATCTGCTACAATACAGGAGTTGCTCAGCTGACATGTGGATGCAGAAAGTAATCCTTAAAGCTAGAATGTTAAAAATGCTGAGCTATGCGGTTTTCAAATGTGTCAAGTTGTTTGGCCTTGCCTTGGATTCTCACACATCTGTCTGCCTGGGTGAAGATACAGTATGTTTCCTGATGGGAAGCCGGCCCCGAGACCATCCTTGGCCTCTTTTCACAGTACAAAGGGACCAGCCTGAGGCCCTGCCTCCCCCTCACTCCCTCCAGCCTGGAAAAGGGGCCCTGTGTTTGCCCTGTGAGTGTGGCTGCTGTCTTCTGTATGGAGCCTGAACAGTGGCATGGGATTGTTTGCTCCTTGGACGCCATGGCAACAGGGCAGGCCATCCATGGGAATGTGTTCCTGATCTCAATTCTCATGAGCACAAGGGTGGGGGAAGAAGTGTTATCCAGCCTGACAAGAGAAGAAGGGTAGTAACTGGCTTTATCACACGTGTACAGGAAGCTACAATTGTAATACTATTTATATATCATTTCCCTCTCAGTGCTAAGAATGAACGCTTTACCTACAGCTGCTGCTTCATCATCATCGTTTGCATGCCACCTAATAGAGCTCTCGGTGGTTCACAACAATTCATAACACCCCCCCCGCCCCCCCCCATGCCGCTTTACAGCTGCTTTGGTGGGTAGGTCAGTTTTCTCTATATATAGTTGATAGAGGGTGGCAGGAAGAGAAACAAGGCTGAACATCTGCGTCTTTCCTAAGAGCCCAGGAAATCATGATGGAGCTTGCTGAGACACCAGAAGATTCTGTTTCTGAAGTTTTAAGGATTTTAGAGCAGCTCTCTGGGACCATTTCAGAGAAGGCATTTTGGTTCCTATAACCAAGGGTTCACTTGACGATCCAGCCTGTCCCAGTAACACTGTGCTCAGAAAGGCTGCCTTTAACCTTCTGTGTTGCATGAAAAGAAATAATGTAGCTTTTGAGAAACTCAACTTCCCTTTTCAAAAATGCAAGCATTCAGACTTCGTACTTGCTGGTTGCTTATGAAAACTCCTTCCCACCAGGGGAAACTTTCAAGGAAGGTTTAGGGAAATATCTCTTAAGGATGCTTTTGTTGTATGGAATATGTTAACAAACAAATGGGGAACATTTTTGTTTCTCACAGTAATGTGTGTGTGTAAGATATCTCGTGTTCAGGAAAAGGTTGTATAAATGATTCATCAAGTCATTGCTCAAAGCTCATTTTCACTTTCTTTTCCTTTTCTGGTTAGTGGTAAGTTCCTTCCTAGATTAGGAACTCCCAATCTGCTCCAGTGCCACTTCGCAACTTTTCTTTTTTTGCTCCTGCATTCTCGAGAGTAACAATTTAAGCCTTCAGTTTCTTGTGTCGCCGAAAAACTGCTAAGCCAGCTCTGCACCTGTCTCTTTCCATCTTCCCACATCTCCATGGCAGCCAGCAGCAAGGTGGACTCCCATTCCCAGAATGCAGCTGACAAGCCTGAAGTCAGCAGCATTGACCAATGGGGCGCAAGCAGGGCGGGGAACAAGAGCAGATGCGGTTTCCTTTCTCTGCCGCCGCTCCTCCGAGCAACAGAGCTCGGTGCTAGAGCTGAGCGATGGAGCATCTGCTCAGCCCGGTCCGTGCTGCCTGGTTTTGAGCTCAAGGCCCTGCCCAGGCTCTCGCCCACTGCCCATTTCCCTGGTGTAAATCCTCATCAATGAGGTTCTTTCGTCTCACCTTCAAGTGCTTTGTGGATTGCTTTTGAGGCTGCACCCCGCTCCCCTCCCAGACCCGGAGCCAGCTTCCCAACCCAACACCCGTCTTAGTCGTCTGCCACGGAGCCCTGCTGCCAGCCCGGTGCCATGGCTCCGGTGCCCACCAAAGCATGCCCAGGTAAGGCGCTAGCTTGGCATCGCCTCGGAAAGGTGTTGTGATGACTTAAAGGGGAGCAGGAGGGGGAAGGGCTGGGGTTCTGTCTTGCCCAGCTTGTTCCCATTTAAGTGAGTTCAGGAAATCAGCGGTGCTGTGTCCGGTGCAGGCAGTAACAATGTCCTACCTCCAGCAAGTTCTGAGCTGTCTGCAAAGTAGCATCCCTGTCATTCTACAGGTGCCCACCAAAATGAATACAGGTAAGTAGCAATGCCAGCTCTTGACATGGGTGAAAAGTTCATACAGTAGCCTCTGTCCTTTCCAATATTGTCACTGCAATGGCTCCTGGGACTGGCTGGTTCAAACAGCTGGGCTATTAACCCTACCCACTTCCTTCTCTCTCAGCATGCAAGGCAGATGTCCTGTGTCTTTCTCTGATGGCAAGTCTTCTCATTGCTTTCTACTGACAGGACATCTGGTGCTTATTCTTTCTTCACTCAGTGCTCAGTTTTGCTAGATGTCCATGCTTACCTACCTCTGTGCACTTTCAGTCTTCCTCAAATGCAGTTAGAGCAGGTTTGGTTTTCTTTCGACTTTACAAGGAAGGTGCGGCAGATCTAATTTGACTGTTGAATACAGAACTGAGGGTCAGGAGTTGCTACTCCAGGTTCATTCAGCTAGAGCCAATGGGGCATGAACTTGGTGTATATGGCATTAATGTGCCAGGGCACTAGTTTGACTCTCCTGGGCACTCCATGCTGAAATGCTTGAAGCTGCTGGCAGTGCCATAGTGCAGCCTGGTTCTTGTACGACGTGTGGAACTGGGAAAGGCAAGAACTTGGAGGGTTCTGTGCGTCCGTCCCTTATAAGGCAACAATTCAGCAAAAGAAGGTGGGGAAGTTAGGGGGGAGCAGCATTGTCTTAAGTCAGCAGCCATCTCTCTTCAACTACCTTCCCTTGCTTTCTTCGTCCCCCAGGGCTTTTTTTCTTGAGGAACGGATGTGCTCCGTTTGGTATTGCTTAGCACAATGTCCATTACAAGTGCCAGCCAAATGCAGATCCCAATATTGGGGTGCTAGGGGGGGTCCAGCAGCCTTAGCCCCACAAGTGTGGATTAGCTCAGTCACATGCCAGGGCCTTGGCTTCGTGTTCGCTGTGGGGGGAGGGGAGCCAGAGGAGAAGGGGCTTTGTGTCTCGGCTGTTGTGCAGCTTTGCTCTGCCCTCAACTCTTGCTGTCTTTATTTTTGTCCAACGCAAGCCATTACGCCGGGCTGCCTTGCTGAAGCTCTTCCCCACAAAGGCAATTTGCAGGGCTCTTCTGGGGCTAGGTGTTCCTGCTGATGGATGGGAATGTAGGTGAGGAGGAGGGAAGGCAGGGCACTGGTAATGGCAAAATGCAACATCCCACAGGCTCTCAGGGGGTTAGGATGCTTTCTGAAAAGCCTACTCAGCCCAGCACAGAGGCTACATTTTGCTCTTAGCTTTGTGTCTACCATGGCACTCTCTTTGCTGGGTGAAGAAGGGGATGAGGCTTGTCTTGTCTTTATACTGGGCGTTCTGGAAGAAAAAGGCTTGAATGAGGAGGGCTTTACAGAGGTGGGGGAAGCACAAACCACCATGTGAGTGTGACAGTCGTGTGGCTGCGTATGCATCCATTGTGAGCATGGCTACTGCTGTGTGAGTTCATGTGATGGTGTGTGTATATACGTGTGTGTGGATTCAACATCGCTGCCTAGTGGGTGACTCACCACCCTGCATTGTGACGTTGAAACTAGGACTCCAGAATGAGAGAGCGTGGTTCGTGTGTGTTTAGAGGGTATGCTTATTATATAAAAGGCAGCCTGGAAAATTCTGGCATTCCTCATGTTGGAAAAGTGTTTCTGAAGTACATGGTGCTCAAAGAAATGGAAGAACCATTTCAGGGATAGGCCTGAAATGGCTGTGATGCCAAACAGGTTCTCTGGCAGGGACTAAGGCACTGATTTTCACCTGGGGGACGTTTATTTTATTTATTTATTTTCCGATTTATATCCTGCCTTTTTTCTACAAAGGGCTCAAGGCAGCTTACATCATTCTCCTCCTCCATCTTATCCCCACAGCAACAACCCTGTGAGGTAGGTTGGGCTGAGAGTCTGTGACTGGCCCAAAGCCACCCAGTTGGCTCCATGGCTGAGCAGGGACTAGAGCCCAGATCGCCCGAGTCCTGGTCCCAGGCTCTTAACCACTACGCCACACTGGCTCTCACATAGCAAGCTCATGACATTAGAGAGACTAACATGATCCTTATTCTCTCTCTCTCACTCACTCACTTTCACACACAGCTTCTTCAGCTACAAGCTTTCTTCTTGGAAGATTTGTGGAAGGGCAGAAATGAGTGACACCCTTCAAGTCTCTCATAAACACAATCACAGCCTTGTACTCGCTAATCTAGGATTGCTACCATACTTCCCTGGTTCCAGACAGACAACCACTTGCATGTGTTAGAACCCCTAAATCAGGAGTTGGGAAACTTCAGTCCTGCAGTATCTACTTTGTTACTGGAACCTGTCCCTTCTATTCCTGAGGTCTACCAACCAGAACTCAGCCGCAGAGTAGTGGTAGGCAGACATTCATTAACAGACAAGAAACAGAGTCAATACCAAAACTGAGTTTACAAGTCCTTTCACATAAACATCCACTTCTAGTTTTTCTTCAGGTATTCCTTTTCAACAGTGTTATTTGGGGGAGGGTAGACAATGTTGCTGTTGCTACAGTTAGAATCTGAGTCAGAAGCCCTTGTCAATCTACTATAAATCATGGCCAATCAACCAACAGTTCCCAGTTTGCTCTTTGCCCAACCTCTGCCCTACAACTTCTGTCACTGTGTATTGAAATGGCCACGCTTTACTCCATCTGCCTATGAGCACCACTGCGTACTTTAAGAGTAGGACCAGCCTAACTGCATAAACATTCCAAGTACCCACATATGGTACCATCTTTTTAAGGAAAGCCTAAGAGGGCACACACCATGGCATGGTGGATGTAGTGGATGCAGGTTTTGGTGCTGCAAACAGAAAATCCAAGTGACAATCCTGTGCATTATAAGAGTTAAACTGTCCATTGGCTGCCCTTTTAATATTACCCAAAACATGCTGCCCTGCAGTGAGCCCCATTGTACTGCCTAGTGATGCCAGACCGGCCCAGAATCCCATGCACCATCACAGAAGTTATTGCTGGAAACTCCCATGCAGCTGCCACAAATGGAGCAGTGAGGAGGACGTGTCCCAGAGCCCTTTGCAACTAGGACATAAGTCTCAGCTCCTGGGTATCTCTGAAGCCTGGTGCTCCTAAGCCAAGTGTGATCTTGCATCAGATCCTGGGCACCCAGATTGTCCACTGCAGCCAGTTGAAGGAACAAAATGTCATGGCCTGGTTCTGCTGAAGGGTGTTAAGGGGTACCTAATCCATATTAAATGATTTTGCACTTGATTCTTTTGAGAGGGGGTGAATTTCTGTTGATCGTTAGGTATCCCCTCCTGCCTGAAGCATCTGTCCCACAGCTGTCATTCATTGCACAATTAAGAAAAATTAAGTTTATGGCCTACTTGCTTGCAGGTGGCTCTTCAACACTGCAGCTTTCATTTCTCTCGAAATGCAAGTTTCTCACCCTGTTCACAGAAGAAACAACTCTGTACATGGCATGGCAAAAATGAGAAGATTGGTAGTAAGAAAATGGGTCAAAAGGAAACCCAAATAAAATGAACTTTTCAGCATTCCAGATATCTGCAGTGACAGATCAAGATGTCGTTCAACAACTAGCTTGATGCCCCAATCCAACAATTCAGTTCTGGCTAATACTTTGTCATTGTCTCCACAGAGGGCAGTGGGTGCTCAGAGGTGGCCATGGCAGATAGCGCTGAGCCCGCTGGAAGCACAGGGGAATCCACCCTTGAGGAGCGAGCCATCACTGCCCCTCTGGTGGTGCCCATGGGTCCCATGAAGCTGCCTCTTCCGGAGCGGGAGACCTGGACCCGGCAGATGGATTTCATCATGTCTTGCGTGGGCTTTGCTGTAGGGCTGGGCAACGTCTGGCGCTTTCCCTACCTCTGCTACAAAAATGGAGGAGGTGAGAGGATGTCTACAGGGAATGGTACTTTGTGGTTGTGATGAAATGTAGCCGTTGTGGGTGTATCCCAGAGATGTCTCTGCTGGGCAGAGGAGCTGAAGTCTGGGCTCAGTGGGATGGAAAGGATCCAGCTCACTCTGAGCAAGAACCTTCCCTAGAACAAGACACCTTTGGAGGAGGGAAAGAACTGATCTATAGTGGTTCTGTGTTTTAGGAGATGAGAAAGCGCCTGTTTCCTTGTAAGGAACAAGCCATGATAGGATACCTTGGGCCTCTGATGCCTCTCTCCCAAACTGCCTTCCCCAGCCTGGTCAACCAACCCCAGCCCCCATGACAGATGGTCAGAAATTGTAGACCAAAACACTTGAAGGGCAGCAGGTTAGGGAAGGCTGCTCCAGTACAACAACTGCAGTAGTAATTAAACCTGTTTGTTATTCCTATAGTTACAATATCAGCTCTTCTAGTCTGTGCCCTAATGCATTATGGGTAGTTTCTGGTCAGGCTGCAGCAGCAGGGGTTGGACCCAGTGGCCTTCTTGGCCCCTTTCAAATCTAATGTTCTTTGATTCTACAGACAGCCCTTCTTTTCCAAGTAGTAAGGCTTTCCGTGGTGAATTAGGCAGCTGTGGGTGGGGCCAGCCGGTAGCATCTGTGCAGGTGCCCTGAATCTGACAACAGATCTAAAGCTTGATTATACACCTATGCAAGCAGCTGCATGACAACTGCTCCTGCTGTATGGATGCTACAGCCTGCCTATCAGCTCTGTGGATAGTTGTACAGTTAGTGCTGTAAATTACCACTTGGTAGATGATGATTTGCCTTTATTGCTGTCTCTAGCTATACCTTGGAGTCTGGCTTTTGCAGCTGCAAAAGCTTACAAGCATCAGTCAGATGAGATATAGACTGTGCCCAATTTCTAAATGAGGAGCTGATGAAGTTCAAACAAGTATGACTAAAGGCAGAAAATAGTTTTTGGTACTCAGAAGTGGTTTTATTTCCATTCTTTTGTCCTACCATCACCTCTGCTTAAGTATATTTTGGGGGCAATTTAAATAATAGTAATTCTGCTGAGCCTGTTTATTAAAGGTAAAAGTTCCATTCTGAGCTCCACTCCCTCCCTCCACTCCCTCCGACTTTTCAAATTCAAACAATTCTCTATTTCTGCTCTAGCATCCTTATGTTCTGGTGAACCTTAGATTGCTTCCCAGATGGATGGGGATCAGTTGCATCTCCCCAACAGATGGGGCAAATCTCTGCACATTTACAGAGACTTCTGTATTGCTGCTTTGCTTCTTGCAGAACTTAAGCCCTGGCATTGACAGGAGGTTCCTGATGAACCTTTCAAAATTTAAAGTGTGGATGCTGAACAATAGCAGGAATGCATCTATTCTCCTTAGCTTTCTTCCATGGGATCAGAATAACTGCTCTCTCCCTTTACTCATCTTTACTGGGAAAAGCACAACCCACATACTGAGCTGAGCAAGAATATGTGGCATCATGTGCTCAGATGTGGCCAGGAGATAGAGAGGAGGAGTTGCTGCAGGCACGCATTAGCTTATCAAACCCTATGTGGAGTGAGAAGGGTGCTGCTTCCCTGAAAATTTGTTCAATTCGGTGAGAGAAGCAAATCTGAATCCTCTGAATCCTTCTGCAGATTTTGTAAGCAAATTCTGTGCATGGCTGGGCAATGGCTGTTGAAAAGGCTTTTAACATACAGGGAAAATGCTCACCTCTGGTGGTACCACACTGCTGTGGAAAGCTCAGTTCTCTGCATCTCTACCACACTTCCATGGAAATCATCAAATGAATCATTCCGTAGCCTCTTTTTTGCCCTGGGTGTAATGCTTTTAAATTAGATGCATGTAGAAGCTGCATCTAAAATAGCAATAGGGAAAACACAGAGAAGATGCAATTAAAATCATACCGCAACAGAACTGGCACAGTGAAATGAACCGTATTGGTCTACTCAGTGCAGTTATTGGATGGATAGATGGTAGCCATGGAGGAAGTGCCTGAAAAGTGCCGGTATGTGTTCACTCCCAGGCCTCAGTCATAACCTGTAGAATTCAGCTTCCAGGATATTCCAGGAAATACTAACAAAAATGTTTATACTGAATACCCACAGCTTAGTGAATGGGGGCTCAACATAAGTCTGCCACTGGATCTGTGAAAACATGGGGCACGAAACTGACCCCATAGGAGAGGCCAGCATTGCAATGCAAAGCCAAAGCTGCATGTGCGGTGGATTGTTGGGCGATGCAAGTTCTCTTTTCTTCTCACATTTGGACTTGCGGGAGGAAGGGCATGCACAGTAGTCGCCAGATTTAGTGATCTAGGTCACTGGTTCCTAACCCTTTTTCACTTGGCTACCCCTTGGCAGCCCATGTCCATAAATTGCACCCTTCATATTATTTATTTGCTTAATATTTATATTTATTTATGTATGTATTTATAGCCCGCCTATAACTGCCATGGCCTTCCTAGGCAGCTTACAACACATAAAACATATTAGCAACGTGAAACACATTAAAACCAATTAAAATGCAACAAATTATAATATCTGTAAAAGCAATATAAAAAGAACCACAGCATTTAGGCTAAGTGTTAAAAAAAATCCTAAAAAGACATGTCTTTGCCTGGTGCCAAAAGGAAAATAAAGATGGCACCAGGCGAATTTCGCTAGGGAGGGAGTTCCAAAGATAGGGAGCAGCAGCGGAAAAGGCCCTTCGCCTGTATTAGCAAAACATTTGTCATGAACATAGCTGCTGTTATTTTAAATTTGTATCTTGTAACTGTAAATAAATAGCCCAATAATGGGGTTAAAAGGCAATGGTATAATAAGGTGAACAGACAGTGCATATATATTTACATTCAAAACTCAAAAGTGTTGTCCACCATTATTCAATTTTTTCCATGTACCCATAAATGTTCTGGTTTGTATCCTTGGGGGCACACATACCCCGGGTTGCAAATCACTGATCTAGGTAATATACAGAGAAATGAGTCACAGCTGTGGGGAATGAGGCAGAAAAGCAGTGCTGTAGTAGCAGAACCTGCGGGTCTTCAGTATCGTTTCAGTCCTGAGTGTTCCTGTTACTATTGCTATACCCACAAGCAGAGTTTCAGTGGGAGCAGTTTGTCACGACATACTTCAGAGACAGTGAGAAAAATGTGACACCTGCTAAATATTCCTCTTATGTGAAATGTGCAACAACCCCCCACTGAACAAAATGGGACCTGGCAATCCAATTTCCCATTCCACCCACCAGCCAACCATTCCTGAACAGAAGGCACCTGTGCCCTGCCCTGCCCTGCACGGCCAGGAAGTATCCGCCTCTTTCCAGAAGTTGCTTGGCCAGCTCAGACCCTCTCACCAGATGCAGAGCGGTGTGGTAAGACATAGTGAGAGGCCAAATGGGATGTGGGCTCATGGCACTGTTTCTACAATGACAACGATGAGAGAGGAAGGAGAAATCTAAGGGTATGTTTGTCTTCAGGTTCCTCATGCCTCTTTGCATTTCTATCAGACTGCTTCTTTTATTTACTTTATTTGAGTGGTTTTGCTCCATTTTTCTATACAGTATATACCCAAAGTGGCTAGAAAAAATAAAAACACAGTGGAAAAGGTAACAATTTGAAACCACACCAGAGAGTCAGAAAATGTGTTGAGACAAAGCAGAAGACTTAGGCTGCAATCCCATGCACAATGACCTGGGGATAAGTTGTGAATACTCAAGTAGAGGATTGCGTTGTAAGACATCAAAAGCCCAGCTGAATACAGAAAATGTAGGAGCCTAGCAAGGCATCCCCCATGTCCAGTGCCACCACTGAAAAGGCCCTGTCACTCATATCCGGTCCCTGCACTTCTAGCAGTACTGAGGTGCTGACTTTCATTTTCTGCGCAGGTGTCTTCCTGATTCCTTATCTACTAATTGTGTTTGTCGGGGGGATCCCCGTCTTCTTCCTGGAGGTGGCGCTGGGACAGTTTATGAAGCAAGGTGGGATCGCTGCTTGGAACATTGCTCCCCTCTTCAAAGGTAAAGGCTTCAGTAGGGCTTCTCTAAGGGCTCATAAGCCAGCTAGTCCTAGAATGTGTCAGGGCCATTGCTCAGGGAGTAGTCACACCAGAGATTTTGAGCAGTGTGGTTGGTCTCCCGAGCTCCATGAAGGCTTGTTAGGGGTTTCCTGAGGATAAAGGTCAGCAATGATAGACAACCTTCCTTGGTTCACCATAACTGATCTTTCTGAGCAATGTGCTGAGGCAGAAAAATTGTCAACTGTGTTTTGTATTCAAGTTGAATGTCTTATGGTAAGACTGAGCAGCAGCATTCAAATTACATGGGGGTCAGAGAGAGCTGCTTTCCTTTCTTTTGTGATGCTGCCCTCAGCTACTCTCCAGGGGCCAAGAGAGGTGATTAAAATTTGGGAAGTTTGGGGGAGAGTTCAGGATTTCATTGGGACCCCTCCCAACCCCTTCCTCCCATAATTCGAGCTGGCTGAGCAGCCTGGCAGGTTTGGCCAGTCCCTTGTATGAAGTGGCAATTTCATACAGTCCCCGTGGCAATTTGCTGGGTGTCCTTGACAGACAACGTCATGTGGAAGCCTGAAGAAACAATGTTTGAACACCATTGCAGCAAAGGTTGGCCTGCCTGAGGCCTAGTTTGCAACGGCCTGTTGGGCAGGAGAGCGAGAGCGGCTGGGGTGAGAGACAGAGCTTGAGAGGCCAGAGCTGGTTCTGGGGCCTTCGTCTGGGAACTAGGGTGCCACTCCGTGGAAGTGACTGCAGGGTGGGCTCCTTGAGGTGACGTAGGCTGTGCATGGAGACACAGGCCCAGGCCTGGCCTACGGAAACACTTCGACTCTTTGAGCATGGAGAACCCCATTTTGCTGCTGCTCAATTGGGCATCACCTTACAGGTTCTAAAAGCTGCCCTGTGAATGTGTATTGATCACAGCTGGCCTGCAACAGCAAGCAGGGTGGCATCCCAGGCATCCGGACGAGATGCAAAATATTGTGGAGAACATAGAAGTTCCTGCTCGAGGACATACGATAAATAAACGTGGCTTGACAGAAACCTAAAACTCCTGTACTCTGACTCCTACATCCATGGGCAGGGCTCACTTTTGACTAGTGTTAACAGGGCTACCATTATTCCGCAAAGCACTGCATGATGCCTTGTGAAATCGCAGAACTGAGACCGGGGACTAAATTGGGCTTTGCAACAGTTGGGGTTCAGAGTTTCAATAGATTGTTGCCACTTCTCACACTTAGCAGAAGCAGAAGAAAATTTGCAAAATAAGCCAACATATGCTTGATTCACATAATTATGCACTCTATAGAATACGTACTAGTTGGGTGCAGGATCCACAGCAGGTTTTTGTTTCTTGGGGCAGAGTATTTGCAGCCTGTTTGGGTTGGCTTTGATTTCTTCCTGGAAGGTGAAAGACAAAAAGGCGCAAGACTCTGGCCTGGCCTGCACATGCAGAGCAAAATGGCTGCATAACCTGAAGGTGGAAGAGCAGACTGTACCACTTCAGACTGTCAGTAGAGGTGGCCTTTCAAAAAAATTACCTCACATTGATTTATTTTTCCTGAGCATATCAAAGAGAAACATCGATGCTCTGCTCCCTGATGTGTTTATTTTCTACCTGCAGGGAGGTTTTAACTCAAGGAGCATCCAAAACCTGAGTCTTTCCCCTTCTGAAATTGAGGGTGCAACCGTCATTTCCACTTTCTCATGTCTGGCCCACTAATTCTGCTGCTTATGTGGACCAGCTGTGGCCTGAGTCCACAATCAGTGGCCCCTCTATCCGATCCCCGAGTCAGATTCTGACTGGTTGTGGCTCTCTTTCTCCAGGTCTGGGACTGGCCTCGATGGTGATCGTCTTCTTCTGCAACTCCTATTACATCATGATCCTCGTCTGGGGCCTCTTCTACCTAGTGCACTCGCTGTCAGAGACCCTGCCGTGGGCCACCTGCGGCCACTCGTGGAACAGTCCCCAGTGCACCGAGCTCTTTGGCCTGGGGAGCTGCGGCAACAGCACCGGCAACCGCACCACCAGCAACTGCAGCAGCCTGGCTGACCAGCGCTCTCCCGTCATTGAATTCTGGGAGTGAGTGGGCAGCCCTTCCTAGGAGGATTGGCTGGATGTGCTCTCTTTGCAAGGGTGGGCGGATGGCTCAGGTGCGGGGATGGAAGCAGACCTAGCAACGTGGGGAGGGAATTGGTTTGGTCAGGGAGACTCAAACAGGTTGGCACCCAAAATGCAACATTCAAGGGGTGCCTCCCCATAGTGGCTGTTGGCAATCTTTTGCATGTATCCCCCAGAAGCTGTTCCCTGAGGCATGTTGCCGCATCCTGCCAATGTAGGGCCAATCCCAGGTTGGACGGGCCAGGGAGTTCCCTTGAAGGGGGTTTTTATTCTCATTCTCAGCTGCACCGCCGGCTCATTCCACTCTCTGCTTGCTTCCTCCCCAGGAACAAGGTGCTGCGCATTTCAGGGGATCTGGCTGAGCCGGGGGAGCTGAGTTGGCAGCTGATCCTCTGCCTCCTCACGACGTGGGTCATTGTTTACTTCTGTATCTGGAAGGGGGTCAAGTCAACAGGGAAAGTAAGTGGTGGGCTCTCCTCAAACTGTGTCTGTTTTGCTACTGGGGAAGCGTAATGAGGAAGCCTAAACAACTTAATGTTGGCAGTAACAACATAGATAGGGCCCCTAATGAGGAAATCATCAACATTTGAATACTGGGATCTGTTTTACTTTCAGGAACAGACTGAGCTTCTAGTTTCATGGATTGTGAGATAAAATCTGATAGCACACAGACTGTTCCTGCTTCTGCTGCAGGCCTCATACACCCAACCATTTTCTGACAGTGGATGCAGCACCAATGTTTTTTTAGGAGCTCCACCACCCGTGGCCACGCATGACCCCAATTAGAAGCAGTCATTGTATAAGCACTGTGGTGCATGGAAGGGTGTTGCATAACCTGTGGTAAGGAGGCCACACTGTATATACAAGCATAGGCAGCTGGTGTCATATCACAACTGCTGTTATTGTTATAAGAGTTCTTGCATCAATTGTGCCTGTATATTATTGGCTGTATATGAGGTGTCATCATAATTTGTGGCCTTCCAGATGCTTTGGACTGCAATTCCCATCATCCCTCCCCATTGGCTGTACTTGTTAGAATTGATGGGAATTGTGGGCCAAAACACTTGGAGGACCACAAATTGCCCACTCTTGCATGACAACCACTGGCATTTGGTTGTGCACATGAAGGGTGGAAAAGCAAGTACATCTTAATGAAGCTCCCAGTTCCGCAAACTGGAATATTTTTACGCAGTGCCATTTCAGTCCTTTCTCATTTAGCTCCTTTAGTCCCTGTTCATGTAATGCGTTTGCATGAGCTTCTCCCATTCTCCAGTACAGGCAACCGCATTTTGTGTGTGACCCTCCAGACTGAGTACAGCCCGTCACTCACAGTGGTGGCAGGCCCACCAGCATGGTGGCGCCGTACTGTAATCATACCGTTGCTTGGCAGGTGGTGTATTTCACAGCACTCTTCCCCTACGTGGTTCTTATCCTGCTGCTCTTGCATGGGGTGACGTTGCCTGGGGCAGTCGATGGCATCCTCTACTACCTGAAACCTGACTGGTCCAAGCTTGCTGTCGCCCAGGTAAGAGTTGGGATGGTGTTGGCCAAGAGAGGGAGGTGGAAGGCAAGTGACTGGGAAATCAAGAGGCGCTTTAGCCAGTATCTGTGCGGGGAAGAAGGCCCTTGCATGCCACTGCCCCTGCCCTCTGGTGGCCTGGCCAGGCCATGCAGACAGAGCTTTGCCCCCACCTGGTGGGGCTTATACCACGGCTGTTCCCCTCACCTCAGGTATGGATTGATGCTGGCACCCAGATCTTCTTCTCATATGCTATCGGGCTGGGCGCCCTGACCGCACTTGGCAGCTACAACCGCTTCCACAACAACTGCTACAGGTGAGGCCCCCCCCCACATGTGGGAGGTCTTGTGATCCACGTGGATTTCAATACCCACATGTGGAATCTCCTGGCTTTTAAGACATTGCTCTTGGACAGAGTTTGTTTTTAACCCATTTAATACTAAAATGCAGTATGGACATTTTCAAATAGCAGCATCTTTGCTCTCCTCCCATCAGCTCCTGTCCATCCTGTGCCTCTCCTGTACACATCTTGTAGCACATTTAATTCTAGGCTTGTGTGTATTCTGCTGCCCTACACGCAAGCAGAGCTTGACGTGATGCACAGAATTTGGCAGCTTGGGAAAACGCAGTGCTGAAAATGTGTGGGCAGTGCTTAGAGGACCCCAGAAGCCAAAGGAGGCAGTGAGGGTGTGGGTGTGTGCTCACACTGTGCTGGGTAGGGTGAGGCTCCATGTCTGGCAGAAGTTGGGTAGATTTTGCAAGACAGAAATGTATGCAGATATACTTGATTTGCATATTTTTCCAGGTCACAGAATTCAGCTTACCTTGTTGTAGATTTTGGTAATGCAGGTCAGATGGTGCATGTGTGCACAGACACGCGTGTGCTTACACTTAGAGCATATATGGGACTGCATATGGTCACTGGTTAACCTCTTATTTCTCTCCATCATCTCAAACCACGCCTTCCCTATTTGCACATATTCCACATTTCGTAAACTGGATAGAATAAACAAATCAATAATTCAGTGTCTGTACAGTTTGGTTTAATGACAATATCCAAAAGAGTTTGTGCTGTGGTGGAAATCCACTTTTTAAAAAAATGAAAGGGAGCTCTTATCCACATCCCATCAAACCTCTGGCAGACCTCTGGCCTCCAATGCCCTTTAAACCTGTGGGGCCAGCAAAAGGTAAGTGCAGGGCCGGGCTCCAGGGGCCATTCCCTTTTTGCAGGGGGCCAGGCATGGCTGCGCCAGTGTTGCTAGATCCCTCAGCTCTGCCCCCGAGTCCCGCTCGAAGGAATGCACCCCCTGTCCCCCAGCCGCCTCTCACTCTCCAGCACTCGATGCCCCTGCCTTATGGAGGGCCCAAGGCTGTCTCTCGTGCCAGGAGTCAGTCCCAGAACATGTGGCGGAGTCCATTTGCACACATACAAGGGGAACGCCAGCCCTTGCAGCCCACCGCCGTGCATCCGGGACGTGGAGGAGGAGGACTTCCAGCTCAGAGGACAAGGAGGATGCCCAGTCAGGCTTGCGCCCTGGCCGCCTCCCCGCTTGTCTTTTGTCTCCTCCTGCTTATGACTAAGGTGGCGGAAGGAGGCGGGTGGAGGGCACGGGCTTTCAGCTGGTTCTGGGGGAACAAGTGGCTATTGACCTGCCTGCTCCCCCCTGCAGGGATGCCTACATCTTGGCTGTGATCAACAGTTCGACCAGTTTCTTTGCTGGCTTTGTGGTGTTTTCAGTGCTGGGCTTCATGGCGTCAGAGCAGGGTGTGGACATCTCTCAGGTGGCGGAGTCAGGTGAGTGCCAGCAAGGGGGGGTTTCCTCTGATCTCCCCACCCTAATGGTGGTGACCCCTCACCTGTGGAAGGCAAGCTCTTTGGATAGTTTGCCTGGGTGGGAATAGCTGGGTGCTGGGGCATCTGCTTCACGTGCAGAAGGGCACTGGTTCTGTGGGATCTCCACTACACAATAAGTCACTGGGCGGGAAAAGACTCTGTCTAGTCTTTGGAAAGCTGCTGCTAATTGGAGTGAACAGAGCAGGACCAGCTGCGGGGCAGCGCTCGGCCCTCCTGCGCAGAGGCAGCATCTTCGATTGGCAAAGGCCACTGTCCTACGTCACCTTGTCTCTTGCAGGTCCAGGCCTGGCGTTCATTGCCTACCCCAAAGCTGTGACCCTGATGCCCCTCTCCCCGCTCTGGGCTACGCTGTTCTTCTTCATGCTTCTCGTCCTGGGACTGGACAGCCAGGTAGCCGCCCCTGCAGCGTCGGAATGATGTGAGGGTCACATTGCCAGCTGACCAGACACAGGCACCCTAGCCCACTCCTGTGTTTGTCACTGTATCTTTACCAGTCAAAACTGGTAGATGGCATTCGTTCATTTGCCACTGAGGATGAGCATGGTTCTTTGCTGGCATCTGTAGATAATAAAAGCCTGGGAGTAGGAGGTGATCAAAAAGCTGGCAGCTCTTAAATGTGCGTGTGCTGCCCATGTCAACAAGAAAGGGTGTTCTCCCCATGGCATGATGGGGAGGGGGGATGCAGTGCCACTGGCATCTGAAGGGGGGCTCAAGAGTGATTCGGCATCAACCAGTTTCTCCCTTCATGGAAATGACAAATGTGTGTATTTCGGGGCTTCCAGAGTACTTGTGTGCTGTGTACACTGTGATCATCAAGTGTAAGGACATTTCACTGGAGACCAAGGCCAAGATTAACCATGCAAAGATTATCCATGCTATTGTATTTCTGATCATGATGTATGGGTGTGAAAGCTGGATAGCGGAGAAAGCTGACAGGAAGAAAATTGATATGTTTCAAACATGACGCTTTGCAAATACCCTGGGCTGATAGAATGACAAACAAATAGGTGCTAGATCAAGCCAAGCCAGAACTTTCCCTGGAAGCAAAAATGACAAAATCGAGGTCATTGTACTTCAGGCACAGAATGAGAGAGCAAGACTCACTGGAGAGGACAAACGTGTTAGGGAAAGTTGAAGGCAGAAGAAGAAGAGGAAGAGTCAGTATGAGATGGTTCATTTCTACAAAGGAAGTCATGGCCTCGAGGTTGTAAAAACTGAGCAGAGCTGTCATGGACAAGACATTCTGGAGGGCTGTCACTCATAGGGTCGCCCTAAGTCAGCTTGCATGCGTGCGTGCGTGCGTGCGTGCGTGAACTAAGCGTCTTTCCCTGCTCTCTAAGAAGAAAGCATTGGCACTACTATGCTGTTTCTGGATGGCTGTCTTGGTTCCAGCTAAGAACCAGACTAGATATTTATTATTTTATTTTATTTATAAAATTGGTATGTTAAAGACATACATGCCTTGAACGGATCTGGGTTTTGCATTTTGTAAATAGCCACTCTGCCTCTTGTAATAGCAACTCTGCCTCAACTAATACCATCCACTGTGGCTCTGAAAGCCCCAGTGGCTGCTGGGGGCTTCACAAATGAAATGGAGAGCATCTGGGCATGAGCGGGAGGCTCCGAGTTCGCACCATCAAGGCCTACAGACCCCAGTGGTATGGCTGCTCACTTGGGTGACCAGGCCAGGAGTCTTCCAGCCTTCCAGCCAGCAGTGAAAGCCTTACCACGTCCCTCTCCGAGCACCTGACACCACAGTTTCCTTTTCCACATTTTCTTTCTTCCTGCCAGTTTGTGGGAGTGGAGGGCTTCATCACAGGTATCCTAGACCTGTTCCCACAGCCGGCAGCAGGCTCACGACGCAGAGAAATCACAGCTGCCATCTGCTGCCTTGCCTGCTGCATCATTGATCTGTCCATGGTGACTCGGGTAAGCAGTCGACGTAACGCAGAAACACCAACCTTTCTCTGAAATGGGTACAGCAGGAGGTTGCCTTTGAAAGGAACAGTCTTTCTCATTGTGGGTTCAGGAAATGTTGTTGGACTACAGACCCCATCATCCTTGACCAGTGGCCAGTTGCCTAAGAGTGATGGGGGCTGTACTCTTGGCTGGGAAAAGCAGAGTTAAACAGTGTAGAATACAGCAGCATTCCCTTGCGCATGGATGGGCTGCTCAGGACATTTTATATGGGCCCTGCACTGGCTACCCACACTCTCCTAGACACCATTCAAGTGTCTAGTCATCAGGAATAACATAAAAAGTAGCCAATCAGAAATCCCTTGCTTGATTTAACCCACAGCCTCCCCACACCTACCCAAACAGAAAATTCTGAAAAGGGCTTGTGAGGTATGCTCAGCCTGGGACTCTGGCTAACCCCCAGGAGAGGGCCATTCCAGGGGCCGCTGCTGTGAGAGACTCCTTCCTGCGTCTCATCCTGTCCAGCGTCACCTGTGCTTCAGGTTCCAACATTGAGGCCACCTGGAGAAGCAACCACTACAGCCATTAAGGGCTAGGGCAGGGTTGTTATTTCTTTATTTTAATTTCCATTCCTGTACTGAATAGCCGAAGCTCACTCAGCAGGATTCACAACAATCCACAAAATAACAAGCCACAGATATGCACATAATAAAATATGGCATAAAATGCCAATATATAAAATTTTAAACCACTTAAGCTTAAACAATTTCAACAAATGTAGGTCCTCTGTTAAAGACAGGTGGCACACATGCCCCTTCACAGCCAGGGGTGGAGGGCACTTTTCACCTGGCATTGAAAAGATGGTGCTGTTGGCACCAGGTGGCCCTCAGTGAGGAGATCCTAATCAGGGGGCCCCTGTTGGCCCCTTCTGAGCTTCCCTTGGCAGAGGCGCTTGGAGGACGGCCCTGGATGAAGATCATAGCGTCCGAGTAGATCCAAGCTGCGAGAGTCACTCCATTAGGATACTTCCAGCAAGGCCCATCCTGAATAAAGAGAGAGTGTGGACCATGCCAGGCGTATTGCATCCTACTTCACCACAGCAGCCTTTTCCAACCTGGTGCTCTCCAGATGTATCTGGAGGGCACAAGGTCGGGACAGGCTGAGCCATACTCCTAGAACTGGGGGCCTGGTGACTGGCGCTCTCTCTCTCTCTCTCTCTCTCTCTCTCTGTCCTGCAACTCCAGGGCGGCATGTACGTCTTTCAGCTCTTCGACAACTATTCGGCCAGTGGAATCACGCTTCTGTGGCAGGCCTTCTGGGAGTGTGTGGTGATCGCCTGGGTCTACGGTGAGTGGCGAGGCAGGCCGGGACAAGCGGACGGAGGCAAGGAGGGCCCTTCCCCTGCTGGCCTGCCCTGTCCCCTGTTTCCCCAACTGCTCCTGCTCCTGAACTCTTGGCTCATCGCTTGTGTCATCACCCCTCTTCTGTCTTGCGCTGTCGCGTCTCCTGCTCAGCAGCCCCAGTTCTTGCTGGTAGGCCAGAAGCAGCCCATTCCTGTCAGAGGACAGGCCAAAGGCCAAATCACGTTTCAGCTGAGTGCTAAGGGCCACATTCCCGTGGTGGGCAGGACTGAAGGCAGAGTGGCAGAGATGAAGCAAAGGGTGTTGTCCAAAAACACAAGCATATTGTAGCATAGAGCTCTTACTGCTGGTAATGATGTGCCATCATGGACCTCTGGAGAGCTGAACTGGGACCACAAGCCTGAGGTTCCCCACCTCCGAATTGGAACGGCACAGTTATGTAAGCTGGTCACTGAACAAGAATCACGTCTGCATGTGGATGGTGGGAGTTGTAGGCCTACACACCTGGTGGGGGCATCATCTTGGGAAGGCATGTTGTGGGCGGTTGGGCTTTTCAGACGAGTGTGGGAGGGTGTACCTGGTGTGTTGTTCACACCCGATTGGCTGTTGTAGGAGCTGACCGCTTCATGGATGATGTTGCTCGCATGATCGGCTACCGGCCTCTGCCCTACATGAAGTGGTGCTGGATGCTTATTACCCCGCTGGTGTGTGCGGTGAGTAAAGAGTGGTGGGGCAAGATGAGAAGGGCCCCTTCCTAAAGTCGGGCTTATTTAGGCTGGCTTTTCACATCCAGGTTTAACCAATGGCTGCCTCTTAGAAAATGGCTTGAATGTCCAAGTTTCACCCTGTACCCATTTTTGGCCAGTGGAAACTTGGGAGTTTGCATTAATTGATTAGCACAGAATATGCAAAGGAGCACTGCTAATTCTTCTCCTTCATCCCATTCAATAAATCTTGTCTCATTATACTCAAATGCGAAGGTGCCTGATGACCCCACAGTACCCACCTGATCTGATTTGGGACGAGAATGGTACAGAAGTTTACCCGGTCCCCCTGCATTGCCTTCCCGATGAACACCACCCCATTTCCAAACTGCAGTGTCACCCACTCTGAACGTGTATGGAATGCATGTCCTTAATTTTCCCTTCCTGGCTGAATAGTGGCTGGAGGTGGGCAACTTATATTAGGACAGTGATGCAGGGGAAAGGGTTAAAACCCATCTTTCCAAGCTAGGGTCCCAGTCTGGACACAGCTATTTTTAAAAGGGAAAAAACAGTAGAAAGAAGCGGAAATGCAATTGCAGCTGCCTCCTGCCATCTGTTTTGATGCTAGGCCTCTTCAAATCCTTTGACTCAAACATCGACAGCACAGTTTTATCTTCCATTGTAATACATGCCTTGGCAGTTTTTCCCACTGGCACCAAATCAGTGTACAAGATGTTGGAGGGAGAAGGTCAGATTATTTTGGGAAACAGTGGCTTTCCTCAACACTCAAGAAATTGCATCTCGCTCTGCAGGAAATCCTCTCCTGCACTTTAGTTGAACTGGCCATGCCCATGTGACATGGGGGCACTTCCAGGCTGGCAGCTCTTCGTGCCAGTCACTGCTCTTCCACTGTAAGTTGCGTGTGGAATCACAACTGACTTTCTACATTTCGGTAGCCAGGGACGGGGAATAACATTGTGTGTGTGTGTGTGTGTGTACATCCAGCTGGTGTGCTTTCCTGACTTGTGGGGCACTGCCCTGTGGGTGTGGGAAGAGACCATCCACCTGAGCACACCCATTTGAAAGGCATGGTTTCCCTTTCATTTTTTTTAAACTTTATTTTTAATTTGTGTTGCTGCAAAGCTGGTAGGACTGATCTGCAATGAGATGTCTTTATATTCTGCAGAGCTCTTCTGTTCTAAATCCCTCCTGAAGTTAAGGGCATCGGACAACTTTGCACAGCAGGTTGTCAGAAGGGATTGGTTAGAAATGAGCATCCTCTTCCCTTTTTGTGCTTTTGCAGCCACAGGGGCAACATCTATTTCTCTTTTTAGAATGAGAGACCTGCTGTCCCAGATTCTTCAGCTGATGATCTTCGGGACCGTATTTTGTACTGCAATATACTTTTTAAAATGCATTTTGGTGTGATTTGTGAGCTGAGAATTATATCACAAAGTTCAGGGAAGTGCAGAGTCCGATGGACAGCTGCATGCCAATTCACATGTTAGTCAGGTGCGCTGGTATTAGAGTCCACAAAGAGCCGATTCTTCAACCATCCCTACTGAGATGTCACGCAAGGAAATAGGCCTATTTTGAAAGGGACTTTTACATGTTGAACATTCTTATCTGTAAAAAATAAGACTTGTCCCTACCTTTAACTACTGAGCTATTGTCCTTACCTACTCCTTTCAAAATAGCTTCAGCAGGGGTGCTTGAATAATCTGATCTTTGTGAATTCTAGTGCCAATTTACCTGATTTGTGCCAGGGTGTGGGTTGGAATGCAGCTATCCACTGGATTTCACAATTTTCAGAACTCTGTGATACAGTTCTCAGTTCACAAATCATATCGAAATGCATTTTAATCATAGTATAAAATGCATTCAGAATTTTACATCAAGGTAGATTTATTTAGAAATGCATATTTTGTGAGTTGAAGGGTTCAAAAACATGCATTTAAATACTCATTGAGATACAATTCCCATGTGTATTTTTTAAAAATGCTTAATAAATCTTAAACCAAAATTGACTCAGACCAGAAATAGCATGAATTTCCCCACACTACTAGCAGGTCAAATTTCCCCCTGTGGAGGATTGCCATGTGTCATTGCACTGACCGTGTTCTCCTATATATGCAGGCTATTCTAGGAATAAGGGTGGGTGCACACACCAATACATTTCCATGGACATGGATGTGTAAACACACAGAAATTACATGGCACAACACTTGAGTGCATAACACTCTTTTACACCCTATTTGCTGATGTACCCAGGTGCTTCAGAACATAAGAATTGCTTTGTTTTGCTGGATCAGCCAGAAGCCTCTCCTTCCCCCATCCTTATCCTAACCTCCAATAACAACAGCATAAAATGATACTGAGAATACGTTTCAAATCTAAATTTGATAATAAAGTGCACAAATGAAGTCATGTTACACATTTCTGCTTGTGAAGAGAGAGATAATGAGTAGAAGCAACTTGAGAGCATATTGCTGAATGGCATCAATCTTTTAAAGGAAATAAACAACTTTCCTCTAGAGTCAAAATTGCAACACACATCAGTTGTGGACGGACTGGTTGACTGGTGACTGTGGCATCCTAAATCTCCTCTCTGTGCCCTAGTGCAATTTTTCAACATTTTCAAGGCATCCATTTCAAGATAAATAAGTCAGTTTCAAGATGAGATAAATGGATAGATGTTGCTGTGCTGGGAGGAAAAAGAAAACTGCCAGAGCGTGCGGCAGGAGGGGCAACACGAAAGCTCCGCGAGAGCTCAAGTGGGTGGGTGGCAGGGCCATCAGCCATTCAAACTGCAAAGCCGGGCAGCGGGGGCAGCCTTCTGCTTGTACGTCTTCTGTCTTTAACCAGCCTCTCCTTCCTGCCCCTGCCTTCCCAACCAGGGCATCTTCCTGTTCCATGTGGTGAACTACCAGCCTCTGACGTACAACAAGACCTACATCTACCCCTGGTGGGGGGAGGCTATTGGCTGGGCACTGGCCCTCGCCTCGATGCTTTGCATCCCCTGCACGGTCGTTTGCAAGCTTCTGTGGAGCAAGGGCTCCTTGCAGCAGGTGAGTGTGCCAGTCTCCCATCCCGCCTCACACCTGGTGTCCAGGTTCGCCCCTCATGCTGGAGTTTCCACCAGCACCCAGGCATGCCGGGCCTGTCCAAAGCCAGCACAGGGCAGCTGGAGACGGTGCAGGTTGCTGTGGAGCTGGCCGGCCTGGCACCAAGGAGGGTGTCTGCTGAGCACCCACACCCAGCAGGGGCCCCACTGGCAAGAGCTCCTCCTCTGTAGTGGCACAACCTGTTCATGCACCTGCTGTTTGCTCTGGTGAAGACAGTGGTGGTTGTGAGAGGGAAGGGCAGGAGGTGGTCCAGCCGACTTGCTCACTGGCTGTCTGCCTGTCAAGCAAGAAGCGAGTGGCATTAGTCAGGGCTGAGGCCATGCATGGATAGGCATGGTCAGGCCCCTGTAAAGGGCCTACCATCCAGGGGGGTCCACAGGCAAAAGCCCCCTGCAGTTTTTCCTCTTCTCCATCACTGAACCCTATTTGTTCACCTTCCTCTCACTCTGGACCAGACAGTGGTGGTGGTGGTGGTGGTGAGAAGACGCAGCAGAAGCGCAGACAAAGACTTGGTGGGAGGAAGCCTTCCAATAGGATAGAAAAAGATGTGGGAGAGCCAGCTGTATCTGCTCTCCCACAGCAGCTGCAAAATTACTCACAGCCCCTCTGGAGAGATTCGATCTGATGCTGAGAGAGGCCTCTGGCAGAAAGGGTGGAGGGTGCTTGGCACTGCTGCTTTTTTCACACTTTGGCTTCCACCCCCAAAAACCTCTTCCTAGGGACGGGCATTTGTCTGATTCTCTGCCACCGTTTAGAAAAGTTGTAAGGATCTTACAGTTTAAGAGGCCTTTGAATCTTTGGAGGGATAATGAAGGATTATTTATTGGTGCCTTTAAAAACTTTTCAGCCCCATCTTTCAGGAAAACTATCAGAACAGTGTACAATAACATGATAAAAACTAGAAGCATATAGAAAACTGAGAACAAAAGCACAACAGCAGCAGTGAAGTTCAACCAGGCAGATAAAAGCATTGTTAAAACCAGCTTGCCAGCTTGGAATACCTGCCAGATGCAAACCTCTTTCATTGGTGCTGACTGATTGTTACTGGCTGTTTGGTTTGAGCGTACAGTTTGTTTGGATTTGGTTGCTGGTTAAAAAAAAACATTTTTGAGACTTTTCCTAATTCTCTTTGATTGTGCTGATGGCAGTTTGATGCAAGCCACTTTGCCCACAGCTGACTGGGGTTGTTAAAGCAGCATACATGTTTTATGTACATGATACAAATGAACAGCCGGAGGTTCTGCCTGGAGCCGATTGCTGACACCATGGCCTCATTTCTCCCCCAGCGCTGGCAATTGCTGACCACCCCTGTCTGGGGCCACCACCACCTGGAGTACATGACACCGGAAGCGGAGGCAAAACTGCTGCCACCACCAGACAGTCTCGCTGCAGCCCCTCCGGCCGAGAAGGCGACCCTTTTTGAGACTGTGATTTAATGTCCAGCCGCCCCGATCTGCTGTGGGAAGGGGGAGTGGTGAAAGCAGGCGGAAGGCTCAGTCCCTCCCAGAGTCAGGATCACAGTGTGAGCAGTCAAGGAAGCCCCCCTCTCACCCTTGCTCTTCGGGCCCTCTTTGCATTGTGCCTGGTGAGGCCACCTCAGGTCCTTGCGGTGCATGAAAAGTTCTGAATTGGATGGCTGGATGGAGGTGCTGATAGCGGCAGCGGGTAAGAGCGAGGCGCAGGTGTACGCACAGGCACCCACACACACAGGAAGGAGCATGGATAAGCAGTGGAGCACCCGCTTTGCACGTGGATGTCTCCACCGCCGGCCTCTGCCGCCACCAGCGGGAAGGAGCTGGTAGATAAACGCCACTGCCAGCGTAGGTGACATGGGCCAATGGTCCAGTGCCCGGCTCAGTGTAAGGCAGCTTCTCTGAATCCACCACACCCCCCCCACGTGCCACCAGCACACACCCCAACAGCAACCCTCACATGCGCACGTCCAAAGTTTCCCTGGGCAAAGACTGAGCCTCTCCCCTCATCCAGGTGTTTCAGTATTAGCACTCAAAAGCCTCAGGGAAGGGTATCTGTTTCCTCCTGCCAGAAAGGCTGGGTGGCCCATCCCTAGCCACTGGCGCAGCTGGACGACAGCCTCGTGCTCGGGTGTTTCAGGTTTCATAGCGACACTCTGCCACTGCCAAAGCCCTGGTGGAGTGGTGTGTCCCATCCCACCTGCTCGCCCGCCCATCGCTGCTTCTGCACTTCCTGGACCCTGACTGTACATGGGGAGCTTTTAGTTCTTTGGCTGTTCCTTCAGCAGGACATTTAGCCCAATCCCCCATCTGACCAGAGCTGGTTAAGGTGGAGCCATGACATCTTGTTCCACAGGCTCTTGTTCCTCTCCTTCTCTCCTCCACCCCCCACAAAGCAGAAGAGATCAACTTGTTTCCGGCATTCTGTGCATTTTCCTTGTTCCTATTCCCCTAAATCATATTTCTTCCACACTGTCACTTACCATTGTATTTACAGTCTTGCTCATTTGCCTATTTGGGGCTTTATTCCTGGACACGATTTATTGTTCCTGTCACCTGTTCCTGTCACCATCATCCTTTGCTGCCTTCCCACTTTTTCTCCGTAGAAAAACATTTCTGCCCACTTACCCTTTTTTGGCTCTTAGCAATGGTCTCCTGAGAGGCTGTGATCGCAGGCACACCAGCTGCGCATCACGAAATTTAGCATGAAGTTCCTAAACTGTCCTCTTCCCTGGAGAGGGATCAGGACCTCTCCAAAAAATGCATAATATGGGCCCTGCCAAGAATATCAGGCAGGAGGGCGTGTGGCTGGGGGTGTCTTGCCTGATGGTCAGTTGTCTCTTGCTCTTTTCATGAACAAGCCTGGAGGAATCTCTTAGGGAGCAGGGATTTGACATGCATAGCGCTGAACTGGGCTGGCATCTCTGTTCTGGTAGCACTAACGTCTGTTCTATAGGCAGAAATTCAAGAGCTGTCACCTTCGCTGGCAGGGAGGCACCACACTTTTCACTTTTTTTATGAAAAGTGTGTTGTCATTTTGCGACCCAGCAGAGTGATAGCCACGGGCTATGTTAGTCCCTCGCCACAAAATGATCAACTGGTGCCACTTTCAAAAAGCCCTCCCCAACCCGGTGCTCTTCAAACGTGTTGGACTACAATTCTAGCATCCCACAACCGACATGGATTGGTAGGGAATAGGGGATGCTGTGGGTTGTAGTCCAACACATCTGGAGAGCACCGGGTTGGGAAAGGCTGCCCCGGAGACGGAAGAAAAGGCTTACTTGCTCAATTTTTGCCCATAGTACAGACGGCAGAATCCTAGATGCCCTGTGAGAAAGAAAAGGTGTGGTGGCCCTCCTGCCCCTTGGCCAGGTGTAACAAGCCCCCTTCCCCGTCTCCACATGGCAGCTCCCACTTGTGAGTTGCACCTCCTCAGAGTATGTCGTGTAATATATAAATGTTTGTGCCAAATGGGGCTGAGCCTGTCTTCCTCCGCACACCAAGCTCTGTTCACCCCTCCCTCCCTCCCTCCCTCCCTCGCCTTCCTCCCAGCTCCCTGTCTCTTGCAGTCACATACCTGCCGTGCTACAGATCCATCCTCTGACAATAAATATGAGATTCTATCTGTGTCAGTGGCATTTTTGTCTAAGCCGGGCTCTTGAGACTCGCTCAGCTCCAATAACTTTTATTAGCTGCTGTTTATATGGTGGCCAAACTGCCATTTGATCAGCTTCGGGGGGTGGGGGAGGTCACTTCGTATACCGTGTGCCTAATGTTGTCAGAGCCCTTTGGTATTTCCATGATACCAACTAGAGATGGGCAGTGCTTAGGAGAACACCTTCGTTTGACCTCCAGCATTTTTATGAGCCATGTCCTTACCAGGGCCGTCTTAACAGCATTATGGGCCCTGGGCAAAGCAGTGTCCTGGGGCCCCTACGACAACTACAACTACTGTTAATTTTGGAAGTTGTCCAAGGGTTAGCATACACAGATTAGCATGGGGCCCATGGGCAAGTGCCCATCAGGCCCATGTGTTAAGACGGCCCTGGTCCCTGCTTCTTTTCTCTTAACTGCATTGGTGTGATACTGTTTTTTAAGAAAGAGGCTGAAGAGTGATATACTTGGTGTAGTAGAGAAAACTACAATAGTTTCTCCAAACCTGGCAAGTCCCCGCAATAGGCTGGTTGGGGATGATGGGAGTGGTAGTTCAACACACCTGGAAGGTGCCAAGACTGAGGAAAAGTTGCTGCAGGGCTATGCTTCTGAAACCTTTTCATCATAGGCCCCTCTGTAAAAGGCATCTGTGCCTTTGGGGCCATCACAAGCACAAGTCATTGCCATACATACTGTCCGCCTGGTGGCTGAGAGAGGCTCTTGAAGCTGCCATGTGCCACTGCTGTGCACAAGAGCATGGAGATGGAAGTGAAAGGATATTAGGGACAGCTGAAGCGTCACCCCTTCTCATCCTTGTCACCCCATCACACTCGTGCCTCGCTCCCACTCAGAGTGCCTAAAAATACAGTATCCAGTAGTCCACCCGTTCCAACCTGCTGGGTGACTCACTGTCTGTTGAGTGATTCACCTGTGGCATGGACAGAGACATTTGGCGAAGAACTAAGCAATGCTTCGAGTGAGCAGGCAAAAAGGGGATCCGATTTGAGTGTGGGTTGCTAGAGAGACAGTGAAGAAGCTGATCGGGACCAGCACTTCCTTATTTACACATTTATTTATGTCCCACTGTTCTTCCACGTTGCTCAGGGTGGCATACAAGGTTCTTCTCTCATCCTTCCATTTTATCCTCACCACGGCCATGTGAGGCAGCATGTGTGACCAGCGCAGTGTTCCCCTCCCCCTGGGAGCCTCTTGGCGAATGTGAACCTGGGCCTCCCCACTGGGATTTGAACCTGGGTCTCCCCAGTCCTAGTCCAAGCAACGTAGCGCACTGGCCAGCCATGGGATTACCACGTCTGTTCTAGGGAATAGAAACTCTAGAGGACAGAAATAATGTTCTCCATCGAAGCTTTGCAAGAATGAGGTGAAGGTAAGAGGAGGACATTTGCTTTGCTGGCCAAACCTGAGAGACAAGGTGGACAAGCACCATCACCAGTAACAACAACAACAACAAAATAATATAATCAACATTTTTATGCATGGATAGAGAGCCAAACTCTAGATCGCTGACATTGCTTAACTGCTCCTTAGCTAATATTTCCTACATTGCAGAGCACATGATGAAAGTCTCTGGATCCCCATGAGCACGATTGTGAAGGTGGAGAAGTTAAGAAAAGGCTGGCATTAAAATGGACTGGGCGTGGGGGCAGGGGAGACACCTTGATCATTGAATGTGCTATTGTTATGTCCTCAGCAGGCAACACAATTGGGAGAGTGGCAGGATGTTAATTCCTCTAGAGCAGCAAAACATTCCCAGAGCTGCAGTGCTCTGGCCGAGGAATGTCAGTCACCCTTGTCCCAGCAAGAGCCTCTTATTTTTAAGGTCGGACGGGGTGTTCTCAGTGCATCTTTTCCTCCATTCTCTGAGACTTGGTAAAGGGTGAGCCACCTCCTTTATGGGAGCATGGGTTTTGACAGGTGCCAAAATTAATGCTTTCTTTTAAAACAGGATTTTGGACAGGGCTACCCAGAGTTTTTTTGACAGTGGCCTATACATATGCCCATGCAGATGTCCCTGTCTAAAGCACGCTGATCAGCCCTGTTAAAGGGAATATTGGTCAAGTCCTGGAATGACACATGTGGCCTTTGATAGAGTTGCAAGAGTGGTGGCAGCAAACCAATTACTGGAGATTACCTTGTTTTATTAGCGCAGCCTCCCCCTACTTGGTGCCCATCAGATGCGTTGGACCTCAGTTTCCACCATCCCTAGCAAGCGTGGCCAATGGCATTCGAATGCACCAGGGAGGTACCAGTTTGGCAAGGGATGCAGTAGCTGGTTGGTGATTCTGCCAGCCTGGACGGGCAACGGGCCCAGGAGTTGGCAAGCAGGGCAGAACAACCCAGTCAAAAATTGACCGTGAGGGAACTGTTCTTTTAAAAAAACATTTTGAGGTGGGTGGTTGGAAGAGGGAGCAAGTCAGAATTGTCATGGCATGAGTCACAGGGCTGCGGTGACCTATTTGAAGCGGGAGTCTCGCCACCGCCTCCCCACCGCATCTTTTGATTTCTGATGTCATTAACACAGAGAAAGAGCAAGATGCAGTCTTTAGAAATACCATTCACAGCCTATGAGCACAAGGTGGCAGCAGAAACACTCCAATCAGGTTTCTAAAATACTGTTCTATACTAGAGCATCCTCCTTTCCCAGCAGGCAAAAATAAAGCTTGCAGAATTCTCCTAACTGCAATTAGGGGTAAACTAGTGATGAACTGAGCCACCCTGAGAAGTAATAATAATCTTGAGAGACTCAGGACAAATAAAAGGAAGCATACATTTAAACAATGGAATTAACGACTACCATGGGATGCAGCGATGGCCATGGATTTGGATCGCTCTAAAGGGGAATGGGACAAACTCATGGCGAAGGCTGCCATTGGCTATCAGAGGCAGCATGGCTATGTGTCCCAGTTGCTGGGGAACATGGGCAGGAAGGTGCTGTTGCATTCATGCCCTGCTTGTGAGCGTCCCACGGGCAGCGGCTGGTTGGCCACAGTATGGACAGAACATGGACTAGGTAGACCCTGGCTTGATCTGGCAGGGTTCTTCCTATATCGACATGGATTCGTGTCTTCTGCTCCTACCTCATCATAAGCTTCTGCTCCACGCCTTGCTCTCATTTGCGTGAAAGGCTAGGAAAGAGGTGGGCATAAAGGCACCTTTCCTGTCTCCACGTTTAAGTATCTGCTGAGGGCCTGCCCCTGGACTCGCTCCTGCTCTCACCATGGCAAGCCACTCGGTCGCCCGCCTCGCACTCTGGCCCAGCAGCGATGGGTGAGGAGCAGGAAGAGCAGGAGGTGCCCGCCTGCTGACTTGCTCCCCCTCTGCCCGTCCACAGGCAGGCGGGAGCAACGGTGAGAAACAGGAGGAAGAGAAAGGGCAGCTGGCACAAGCACAGCGAGGGGAAGGCAGACTCACGGAGGGTGGATCCACGGGGAGTGTCTTGCCCACTGCCCTCACACACCTGAGACCACCAATGTCTGTGCCACGGTGGCACATTCCTTTACTGGCTAATCCATTAATCACAGACCATCCCTGAGCAGACTTTGGGGCCCCTTTGGGCCAGAGTGCCGAGCGCCTTCTCAGTGGGATTCCCGCTGCAACAGCCAGCATCCTCGCAGAGCGTGCCACAACGTGGCCTCCCCACCTGCTGGGCAGAACTAGTAGACATGCAGGTGCCCTCTTCTTGGCCAGGTTTGCTATGCTTTCACTGAGGAGCCCCGGCTGGGCAGGTGACACTTTCTTTATACGCAGAGGCTACCTGCAGTGCTGCTGTGTCACAACTTCACTAACCAGTGTGCAAATCCCATTGCGTGTCTGCAAAGGCAGAGGTTTCATACCCTGGTGCGCTTCCCACACTCTTGCGCCTCATTTCTAGTGCTCTAAAACTCAATAATTTTCATGTGCCTCTTGCGGAGGGCCAAATTAGACAGGATGTTAATTTGTGGTGGCAATCAAAGCACTCATTTTTGTTACATAAAGAGAAGCTGAAGAAGGAATGTGGGTACGGAGGGAAAGTTGATTTCTTTTCTTTGCAACGAACAATTCCTCCCTGAAGGAGCTCTGCATTTCAAGGGAAGCCTTCACAGGTGCCAGTACAGGTTTCCCTTGAAATGCCAAGAGCTGCTTCAGAGAGAGGAAAAGCCATTTGTCTAACTCTGTCTCCCACCTGCCCAGCCACAGCCTTCAGCCTCCTGTCATTCTATCTTCCTCTGCCTGCTTCGCTTCCTGTGCAGAATCCATATGCTGCCATCTCATACCCTCCCCAGTTTTCAGACTCAGTCGTAGGGCAATGAGTGGGCTTCCTCTGGCTTATACGCGAAGCTTCTTCCTGTGGTGAAACGGCAGAGTTCCAGCAATCAGCTCCAGCTCTTATGGATGTGTGAATGAGAGAGCGGGGAGGTGCCCACTTTTAAATCTTCCTGCCCATCAATGGCACACATACTTGGAAAATTAACCAGGAGGGAATGTAGCCCTGCAGTATTAAAAGTCCCCCTATCCCCACAGTTCTCATGCCATCTCAACCCTGTGACACTTCTTTCATTATTGCCAAAGCTCCACTGAGAGATGATGACAGGCTGAAGGTCACTGTGTGAGCTTCATGGTATACTGGGATTTTGAATTCTAGGTCCAACATTTTACTTTGCTTTGCACCGGCTGTTGTAATGCTTTGCAAGTTAAAATAGAAATGATAAACAGTGCAAATTGCTATCAGGATAAACAGTGGATTATGTGCCATCACCGACTCTCCCAAGATGGCACATATCACCCACACAACTCTGCAAAACACTGCATTCAAAACCTCTGCTGATCCGGGTGTTGTCTCTGCCAATTTTCATCCCTGTCCATGAAATCTGCGTCCCACTTCTGTCTGAATTCCTGATCCTTGCATTCTTCCCTTTCAGACTCAAACAGAAAAGGAGTTGATGATAGGCGTATGGCTGGGCCCAATTAACATCCTTCAGTAAAGATGGTTTACATTTTAAGTGCCCTAACATGATAAGGGCAAATGAATATTTATATTCAATACATCACTTCCCCATTATATTCTATTAAGTATTGAACTGAATATTTATTAGCAATAATTAGCATTTGTATAGTGCTTTCAAGTGCTCAAGGCACACCAGATGGAGTCTTTATGACAGCCGTGTCAGGTAAGTCTTATCGCAGATGGGGGGCTGAGGGGGCCTTAGGCAGCCTTCTAATCATAACGCAGGCAAACCAGTTTGTGAGGACGAATATTTCATTGGAAACAAAGACTTCCTGAAACAAAGACTTGGTAGCTTAAGGCACAATCCTATTCAAGCTTAGGCAGACTGGGAGTCATAGTGTACCTGAACTGGACAGGACTGTGTCCTTAATGTCTTAACTAGGGCCAGCCAAAGAGATTTTGCTGCCTGAGCTGAAGGACAGGATGGTACTCCCAGCTCCCCGTCCTATTCCACTTACAAAACTGACTATAATGGCAGTTGAATTGACTTTTATTTATATGCACCTCTATAACAAAATCTCAAGGTGGATCACATAAGAAATTTTAAACAGCTGCACTGGTAAAAAAACTGAAATGCCTGGGAGAAGAGGAATGTCTTCTCCGGACACCTGAGAGCATCAGAGGGCTTGTCCTAAAGGGGATGGCACAGCTGTGAAGGTGCTCCCTCATGTAGCTTCTGCCTAACTTTGTTCGGGGGTGGGGTGGGGATACCCACAGGAGGGCCTCTAAAGGTGACCTAAGGGTCCAGGTAGGCACTTATGAAAGGAATGCCGTTCAGGTACTCTGGCCCCAAGCTATTTAAGGCAGTAAAGCTCAACTCCATTTCACTTCCCAACCCTGATGATGGGAAGGGAAGGTCTCAGTTTTAGGGCAGGCTGCCTGGAGCACCGCAATTTGCCCTCCCCCGGGAGGAAAGGGGGTGGATGGGGGGCAATGCCCCCCCCCGATGAAGGACACAGCTGTGTTCTAGTGCCGTGGGCTACTGAAACCCCTGCACGTCACACAGCCCCTGCTCCCTGAGGCAAAATGCTAAGACTCACTGCTCTTAAGCATCAAGGAGATGTGTTTTTTTAAACGACAGAAATCACACATTCCTCAGGCAGCTCCACATCAGGTCCGCAAAGAGATCCTTGTAGGGCTGCCTTCAGCTCTAACTCTCTCTTCCCTGTTTGTCTTCTTTCCAAAACTTTTTTTCATACAGGAGTAGCTTTGAAGCCACCTAATTTTCAAAACTCCAGTGGGCTTTTCCTTTCAGACAGATATTCCAGTCTTCATACCATTAGCTTCCATTCAGGAAATAAGAGCCAGTCATTCTGGGCATCATAAAGTATTCTTAGGAAATCTGCTGCTGCATCTAATGCACCAAATTCAAAGGTGTGAGATGGGAGTTTATTATGGTTTTGCATTGCATCTGCCCCCTGCCTTTCTTCCTCTTGCAAGGAACCCAGGCTCCCCCACCCCCTCCATTTTGTCTTCAACAAACAACCCTGTGAGGTAGGTTAGGGTGAGAGCCCCTGACTGGCCCAAAGTCCTCCAGTACGTTTCATGGCCAAGGGAGGAGTAGAACAGGGATCTCCAGAGTCCCAGGCCAACACTCACATCATTATTGAGTGCTTGGCAATGGGACGGGATATAAATGCCTGTAATAAATAATAATAATGCTACACAGCTTTAGTAAGGTGTTGATGCCTGTGAGTCCACACCACCCAAGCAGATACAACTAATTTTATGTATTGACCAAAAACATTTATACTCCGCTTTTCCTCCCAAGAGCAAAAGGCAACATATATAGATCTCAGCAACCCAGTGCCATAGGTTAGGAGACCCAAGGAAGTGTAATGGCCGAGCAGGGATTACAAAAACCTTCTCCAGCTGTTGGGCTACAACTCTCTGCATAACCTGGCTGGGGAAGATGGCAGCAGTAGTCATAGAACTCACCCAGTTAACTGCAGCTACCAGCTCGATGAGGGCTAGTAAATTATTTCTGGGGGGGAGGGCAGAGCACAGTATGGAATTGTCTGGGTGGAAGGCGAGGCACCCTGGCCATCGCTCGGGGCCATCGCTCGGGGGCTTTGCGAGCACTGTGGAATCAGGCCCCAGGTCTTCCCGGTCAGCCCAGCGTCGCACTCACTCCCCTGGGAAGCCCGCAGAGCTGTGCCCCCAGCAGCTGGCGGCCTCTGGAGGTGGCCTATGGGCAGCCACCGGCTGCCTTCCCCCGCGTGAACGTGCCCGGTCCCGTCCAACGGATGGCCTCGCTGCCTCTCGGGCGCGGGGAGGCACTTGGGGCAGCTCCTCAGAGTAAGCGCTTAGCCGGGGGAGCCCCGGCAGCGGCCACCGGCGAGGCGCCCCCGAGGCGGCGGGGCGGGGCGGAGGCTCCCTCGGGCCTGTCCCCCTCGGGGGCGTCCCCGCGCGCCACGTGCCGGGCGCCACCTCCTCCCGGGGCTCCTGCCGCGCCGGGGCTCCGCTTCCAGCGGCCCGGGCCGGGCGCCGAGGGGGCCTTGCGCCGCGCGCGCGGGCGGGCGCGCAGATTCCAGATGTGCGCGCCGCGCGGCCACGAGCCCGTCGCTGGCTGCACGGTGTGAGCCCGGAGCCGCGCTGGAGGGTGGCGCTGGGCGGAGGGAGAGGACGAGGCAGCCGCGCTGGTGATGGCGAAGAGCCGGAGTCCCCGGGCATCTGCGCGGAGAGGCTGCGGCCGGGCTCGGGCGGGCGCCGAGACGCGAGCCGTCCGCCCCAGGTGAGTGGCCGCCCGCCGCCGCCGCCGCCGAGGCATCCCCTGCGCGAGGGGCGGCCGCGGGCAGCAGGAGGGGCTGCAGCGCTGCGCCAGGCGGGCAGAGCGCGAGCCCCAGGAGTTGTGGACGGGGTGCGACAAGCCAAGGGGAGACGCCGGGCAGGGCGCCTGCAGCTGCGGAGGAAGGCGCCGATGAGACGCCGAGGCAGGTCGGGGCGCGGGCGGCACCTGGGCACGGGTCACTTTCCCGGCCGGAGAAACACGCGGCTCGCGCCCTGCAGCTGCGGACCGGGGGCGGGACGCCGCGCCCGTGTGCGAGAGGCGCTTTCTGCACATGCTCCGAGGCGTTCTCGCCGTGGAGGGAGCTTCGACTTTGAAAGCCGGTGCCGGGGCTCCGAGGAGGGCTCTCCGTGACTCCCCGCTTGCTGACGGCTGCCAGCCCAGGGACTCCACACTCGGCCGCCCACGCTGCCCCTCGCCCCTTCAGAGCTGCGCGCAGCGGCCGTGGCGACGCGCGTCCCGGGCTTTCCTTCCCCGCCCGGCTCTGCCTTGCCCCGCCTGGCCGGCCCGGGAGGTTTGAAGGAGCCGCCGGCAGCGACGGGGATCGCCGGCTGGCGGGAGGCAGCTCCCGGCCGCGCTGGCTGACCTTGGAGGAGCGACCTGCGGCAGCGCCGGCTGCGGCTTTCCTCTGCATGCGCCGGGCGAGCGGCCGGGCAGGCGAGGAGCGGCGCGCTGCCCTCTGCGGCCGAGGTAGCGCCACTCCGGGCTGGCAGTGGCGGGCGGGACTCGCCCCGCGTTGCAGAGGGCGAGGGGCGGCGGATGGAGGGGAGCGACGGAGGCGGCCAGAAGCCGGGTGCGGGTGGCCGCGACTGACGGGCGCGTGAGGGCGGTGCGGGGGAGTCCCTGTGGGGCACGCTGGGGAGAGGAGGGCGCCCGCCAAGGGGGCGAGCCTGGGGCGCTCCTGAGCCCGGGCGAAGGAGGGACGAGGGGCTGGCGCCGGGGAACCTGGGCCCGTGCACCGGTGGGGAGGTTTCCAGCCGTTTCGGGGGAGAGGGGACTGGGCACAGCAAATAAGAACCGATGGGCGCGCCAGGGGCCGCCAGGGGCCCTGGGCAACTGCAGGCTCCAGCCAGCCTGGAGAGGAGAGGGCCCTGGTGCACGGTCCCTTTTTGGCAGCCGAGGCCTGCCTGCCAGCAGGTGCTGCTCCGGGCTCGCTGCCCCACCGGCTTTGTCACCCGGTGCTGCGCCGTGCCGTGCCAAAAGCTGCAAACTTGCTCGGGCGCCGCCCAGTGAGGGGTGGCCCCGGACGTGAGTGTGAAAACTCGCAGGACCACCCAGCGCGCCTCCCTGCCTCCCTTGCAGATTGGCTCGGCTGGGCGGATTATGGGTCTGTGGAAGGCCCTTCTCTGGCCACCCTCTCCACCACGCAAAGTTAGTTGGAGGGCAGGAGAGAGTGGGAGTCTTTTGGGTCGTGGGGACTGTCTGTGGAAGGTGCTCCTGCCCAGCACACACCTGGTACCGCCCTGGCTGCCCTTAGTTGCTCCGGCCAAATAATTGTTTCCATTTGCATTGGTATTTTAACGTGCTTTATCACTGGCTTTAGTTTTATGCCATAGCTTTGCTGGCTTTTGTTGGTGTTAGGGCTCCTGTTCTTGTGCATTTATCTCTGGTTTTTTATGTCTTTAGTTCAATTCTGGTTTTGATAGTGTGGCACCCTTTAAGTTTTTATAATGGGGACAGGCAGAAAAGGTGTGTGTGTGCACCTTGACGTGTGTCATCAGGTGCGCTCAGCAGGGTAACGAGATTGGATGCAACTCCCTGAAGCCCAGCCCTCCAACCTGGTGCCTGGCAGATTCTTGGACTACAATTTCCAGCATGCCCAGCCAGCTGGGGGTTGTAGTCCATTGTCTCTGGAGGGCACCTGACTGAAGACGGCTGTTGTGAAACGTGGATTGCCGCTGAAGCATGAACGAAATGGCCCGTGGGCTAGTAAGCAAGGCTGTGCTGGTTTTTAATTCCAAAAGCTACCAGAATCCCAAGTGTGTGGTGTCTAGAATCCTCAGCTGCGAGATGACCTACATACATATTTTTCCTACATGGGATTGCTTTTCAGTGCAGCAATATGCATAATGTGTGAATTGGCAGTTTGAATCTTGGAGCAGAACTTTGTCTTTGCAGATGCGTTTGTGTTCAGCCCTTTCAGTATCTTGAAAGTGAGTTTTTTGTCATACCATGGCAAGGGATGGACAGGGAACAAAATTTAGGGCTTCTATTTGCCCCAGTTTTGCCGTCCATTTGAAAGATTAAAGTCTGGTGGACTTATGGGGATGGCACATGACATAAGAAGTAACTAATAGCCTGTCTGAATAGGGAATATTCTGTCAGAAGCATTTCTTACGTGGGGCATATGGGGGAAGCTAAGAGTGCAGGTTTTGTCTTCTGCGGATCAAGAGTGTATTCTGTGTCGTGTGTGTGTGCGTGCGCGCGCGCGCCAGGGGGGTGGATTGCTTCTCTTTGATTGATTATTGCTTGCAACTCTAACGCGAACTCATTTTTTTTACCACAGCCAAGTCTCTTTCTCTCTCTGCGCCTCACTTATAAAATAAAGATAATTGCGTTTCTTTGCCAAGCTGCAGGGCTTGAGAAGATGAATGGCTGGTGGTGAGGTGCCCAGATACTGTGTTAGCAGCAATGTTGTGGCCTTGCGGTTGTGAGACTCCTGGCTAGATTGCTCCTGCTTTTTGCTTGTAGCCAGCCTTCCTTTGGCTTGCACACGTTCATGGAGAGGAGGGAAAGAAGGGGAACGGAGGGGGTGTCCTTCCTGGAGCAGAAGGTCGCCTTTCATGATTTTGAACATTGGGGTGACTCTTGAGTTAGTCTAAAGTTGCATGGTCAGTGTTGTTGCTCTAATGCCATTTAATCGCACTGCTGGCTTCATGCACAGGATGGCAATGGCAGGAATTTCAGCCAGCTCCGATGCATGCTTTTGGTTGAAGTGGGAATTCAGGTTCACATGAGTGACTGGGAGTATGAAATGCAGGTCGGAGCACCCAGGGCAGTGTGGCTGCAAGTGGGCTGCATGCCTGTCACAGAGTAGTTACTTCTCTGTGCACTCAGCTGCTGAAATATATAATAGAAACCAAATATCCCCACTTGTGAAGCCATGATAGGGCCAATCCAAAGGAAGAAGAGGAGTGGAGGAAAGGTTACAACATTTGGGGCTTTTTTCTTGCTGCTGCTTCCAGAATTTATTTTGCTAGCAAATGCCATGATAAATGCATCAAATATATATACATATAAAACAATTACCAGTATTTCAAGCATTACAAAATCCTATGAATTAGTTAAAAGCTACTATAGACAAAAATCAGCTTTAACTTAAATTTCCAGTGCAGCTGATTGCTGCTAAAGAAGAAAACAACTTTATGCATCACCATAGCTCTTAGTATAACTGGAAAAGAAAACTAACTGTTTCTGCCAGGGCATTTCTATATCTGTTATGCTAAGAAGGATTTCAAGAATCTCGCTTTCTTGTGTCCCTATATAGAGGGAAGATTAACACGTAACAAACAAGGTCTTCCGCTTTGTTTGGAAGACCACAGATACATACTCTGCATTCAAAAGGCACTTTCCGATATTGCCCATCCAGAACTGCCGTTGACATGACTTGGAATTACAGCTCAGTAAAAGCATTTCTTAAAGAAGATGGTCTGAGTCTGGACAGAGCTGGCTCTAGTGTTCTGTTTTCAAAAAGGGAACCATTGAGGGAATTTAGAATTCTTAATGAATTGATCCAAAACAACCAATCCCTTAGTTGTCTCTTAACCATAGCAAAGGCGGAGTTCGAATCAGAAATGCAGTAGCTGCACACCAAATTATGGAGTATTGCTTGTAGTGCTTTCATTCATTTCCAAACAGCACATAGCTGGGAAGCATTCATTTGGAAGCATGGCAATTTGTTTAAAACATCACAACTGAGGCAGTCTATTCTTGTCCTAGTTGATGATCCTTCTGATTCTGTGCAGAAAAAGAGCTGCAGAGGTTGTAGAAGGAAGACAAAGAATTTTTTGAAAGAAATTGTTCTGCCCCATTGCCAAAACATTTATGGTGGGTCTGTCAGCCCCCCACTTTTTTGTTTGGAAAAAGGGTAAGAGGGTCAGAGGATTATGAAATAAGAGGCTTATAAAATGAGGTATGGTCTGAAGAAGGCAGCTACACAGAGAGCCCCCCACCCCTTTTAGCTCTAGAACCTGGGACTCTCTAATGACCTTCACAGCAGACAGGGGGAAGCATTTTCCCACACATTTCATGCTCTTTAAAGCTGGATTTCAAGGTGGATTAGACAAATTTATAAAGCTGAGACCCTCAAGATGGCCATGTGCTTCCTCCACAATCAAAGGCAGTGTTCCCCAGCACACCAGTTGCTGGGAACTTCAGCAGGAAAGGGATATTGCCCTTCTCTTGGTCATCCATCCAGTAAGCATCCGTCTGGTCACTCTATTCATTTTATTATTTGTTAGGGGAACTTCTATGCCACCCCATTCGCCGAAGCCCCGGGGCGGCTCAGAACCATAAATAAATAGAATCCTATAAAACAATATAAATTAAGTCGCCCTCAGAGCCATATAGGACCAGGCCAAGTGTCCGTCTAGCCCAGTGTTTCTTCCCCAGAGTGGCCAGCTGGAAGCCTCTGGGAAGCCTGTGGGCAGGGCAGAAAGGCAGTGCTATATCCCACCCACGTTCAAGCAAAGGAGACGTTCTTGGATTCCGCACAACTCGCCTGATCGGCACAGCCAGTGTGCACCACGTTGCGTTGTTCTCAGGAATATGTACAGCATCACTGCCTAATCCAAATTGTGTGGAAGAGTGATTGTGATCAGATCTGTACATGCAAATTTATTATCTTTCATGACAGGAATAATTCATGCATACTGATTGTGCACCAAGTCCTGAAGTAGACTGAAAATGCAATTTAAAAAATAAGGTATTCAGAAGCTGGATGCAAT